GATGAAGTCAGAGTCCTGAGCAGCAGCCAAATCATGGAAGACCTTGTAGGCCAGAATGAACATCCTGGATGTCTTCTGAATGCACTGGGAATCCACCAAACGGTATTTGGTGGCATGTTGTTGAGGCTGTCCTGTGATTGGCTATAAAGGGGCTTCCACATAGGTCTCAGTTGCTTCTCCAGTGCCAAGCACAGGGTCTGGTACACAGGATGTCTACTGATTGAATGAATAAGCACGTGAATAATCGTGTTTAAAGGATTGGGTGAATATGAGGCATGCCCTGCAAAAAGAAAAATCAATGCCACTCTGGCTTCCTCCCCACTTCCCTCATCAAATATATCGAGTCAGTCATCTAGGTCTATTGATTCTTCTGTCAATATCCTTCTCTCTCACAACTGTCCAATGCTTTTTTGCCTTTTTGCTCCTACGTCCAGACCCATTTACCTTCTGTTGCCTACACCACTGCAAAAGCCTACATGCACACACACACACTAGTTATCCATTTCTAGTCCCTTCCCCTCCAGCCCATCACCAAGAGGTCCTTGAAGGATGTGTAACACCCAGGGGGGAACCTACCCTTCCCCTGATCCAATGCTCCCACCACCTTCTCCAGAACTGAATTCTAACTCCATCTATGACCAAACCTCAGGCAACTCCTGTCTACTTCTTTGAGCCCTAGTGTCCTCGTCAGGAACATGAAGCAATTGGACCAGGTCATTCTGTTCCAAGACCAAAGGTATTGGTATTATGTTTGTTCTATCCTCTCCTCCTTTCATCTTTAGGATTTATATATGGGGTTTGAACTCAGGGCCTCATGCTTACAAAGCAGGTGCTCTACCACTTGAGCTACAACTGCAGCCAAATTTTTAGGGTTTCTTTTTCAGCACTGGGGATTGAAGCCAGGTACTTATACATGCTGAGCGAGTGTCCTACCACCGAGCTACATCCCCAGACCTTTGTGTTTTTATCATTTAATTTTTTCCTGTAGATAGGGTCTCGCTATGTAGTCCAGTCTGGCCTCAAATTCATGATCCTCCTGCCCCCCAAGTGCAGGGATTACAGGTGTGTCCCACTATGGCCAGTTGATACTCAGGATTTTTAATTTTAGTACCACACTATAATAGCTGTGTTGAAAGGACCTGGGTTGGAATTCTGCTTGCACTGCTGACAATTTAACCTCTGAGTGCTTCTGTTTCCTCAATGGTAAAATGAAGATATTAATGGTACTAGTGGGTCAGGAACACTAGAAAAATGTAATTTATACAAAGCACTTAGAACTGCCTGGACCCACAGTACTCACTCCATAAAACTGGCAGTACTGCTACTCCTACCACTCCATTTATTCATTCATTCATTCATTCATTCATTCATTTCCACTACAGGCTGAGCATTTATTGCTGCAGTCCAGGCACTTTGTGTGCATGATCAAAATGAAAGACTGGAGTTCAAACCCCAGTACCACCAAAAAAAACCAAAAAAACAAAAAATCTAAACTGTGATAAGAGGTTGGGTAAATACAGTTTGACCTATTGCCTGTTTTTGTATGGCTTGCAAGCTAAGCATGGTTTTTATTTTTATTTTTTTTTACTAATAAGGGAAAAAAGAAGAACATTTCATGACACGGGTCATGGTTTGAATATGAATTGTCCCCCACAGACTCGTGTGTTGAAAGCTTGATCCTAAGCTGGTGGCTGTATTTTGGGAGGTGCAGGAAAAAGTAGGTCACTGGGGGCAGGTCCTTGGTCCCCTTCTTGTTTCACCCTCTCTGCTTCTTGACCACTGTGAGATGAGCAATTTTGCTTTGCACAATTGTCACCATGATGCTCTCTGCCTCTTCACAGGGCCACAGAAATGAATTGCACTCTCAGAAATCACGATCCAAAATAAATCTTTCCTCCTTCTCAGTTGTTCTCTCAAGTATTTGTCACAACGACAAAAGCACTGACTAATACACATAGGAAAGTTACACTGCTATTGGCAATGATTCCACAAAGGGAGGCTTTAGCTTACTTCGGAAGGAGGTGGTAGGTGGTAGTGGTGGGCTTTGAAACCACATCTTCCTGGGTTCACAGCACATGCCTTTGGCCACGGTACCCCACAAGCTTGAAGGCACATGAGTGGATACTTTGGGGTAGAGTGCATAGGTCAGAGTCTATGCAATGAACTCAAGGAAAGGACTGTGGAATTCAATCTCTCCCAACTCACTCTATTCTTAGGTCAGAAGTCTGATCCCACAGCCATGTTGATCCTCAACATGATCTTGGACTTTGAGTTCCTACTGCAGTGTTGTTTTTATTTTTTATAATTGCAGTACTGGGGACTGTATCCAAGGCCTCATGCTTGCTAGGCAAGTGCTATATCATTTGAACTATGCCCCCAGTCTTTTCTAAAAAAAAAAAAAATTCCTCCCCCATGCTTTCCCATTCCAATACAGACCAAGCACAGGTTCTGGGCTGAGGTGTAAAAGTGGTAGGTTTACTTTTCCTCCTCTTTGTCTATACAGTCAGTGTAAGAACACAGACTGTGGTTTCTTTATTTTTTTTTTTAATTTATTTTTTGTAGTACTGAGATTTGAACTCAGGGCTTCAAGTATGGTAGTTAGGTGCTCTACTGCTTGAGCCTTACTTCTAGCCTCATTTTGTGTGTGTGTGGATGGAGTGGAACTGAGGCTTGAACTCAGAGATTCATGCTTACAAAGCAGGCTCTCTACTGCTTGAACCACACCTTCAGTCTATTTTGTTCTGGTTATTTTGAAAATGGGGTCTCGAGAACTATGTGTTTGGACTGGCCTCAAATTTTGGTCCTCCTGTTCTCAGGCTCTCAAGTAGCTAGGCTTATTGGTGTGAGCCACTGACACTCAGTTCTATTTTGTTTTGTTTTGTCTTTTTGATATAAAGTGTTCATAACTTTCCCCACACTAGCCTCAAACTTGAGACCCTCCTGCCTCCACCTCTGGAGTAGCTGAGATTACAATTGTGCAGCACTGTACCCAATTCTGATGAAGTGTTTTGAGTACATGTTTTGGAATCAGAACACCCCTGATTCAGGGATGGAGAACTGATATATAGCACCTACCTAGCAAGCATGAGGCCTTGTGTTCAAATGCTAGTACCTCAAAAAAAAAAAAAAAGGAATACCCTTGATTTTAATTCCTATTCTGTCATTGACTAGCTAAGTCTCCTGTCCAGCCGTTCCCATTTCTGTGAACTTTGAACAATAGGACTTTCCTTACAATGTTTTGGGTAGGTTGAACAAAAATCCCCATGCTACCTACTCTCGGCCCACTTTCTCTCTCTGTAGGCCACTATTTTTCCATCTGAAAAACTGATGAGAACTTACTGCTCTGATACTCTCAGATTGTGATATCCTACATGTCTTATTTTAGCTCAGTGTCTGGCTCCACATGCCGTGATTCAAGTCTGCACGGGGCTTGCACCCTGGCTTCCCAGGAAAAGGTCTCTTCAGGTTAGGCTGAAAGCTTGGGGGAGGTTTGACCTGCAGAGAACTGGGTGAGCCACAGGGAGGAGGGAACTGTAAGAGATCCTTCTGCAAACCTTGGCACAGTCAACTGAAAAGAAGAGACCATGTATGGGCTCTAGGAGACAGAGCAGAGGTGAGACATGGAGTGGGGTTGGTTTATAAAATACCAGTGCAATTGCAAGGACCAGATCTGAGTTTCATTAAATTATGGTGAGTCAATTCGAATTGGAGAACCAACTCAGAATGCATTGCAGTTAGTTGATGGGCTGAAGTGTGGCTGAGCTGACCTGAGGTTATTTGTACTCCACTGGAAAGAATTCTACTTAGAACTCTAGACACTCATCTCACACCAGTTCTTGCTGGTGTCTTGGGCAGCACTGCATAATTCTTGATCTCATTAACTTCACTTTATCAGGTGAGTGCTAATAATAACTCTGAGGTAGAGATGTTCTGCGACAAGTGTGAGATTACATATGCCAAAGAGCCTTATACCATAAAAAAAAAAAAGAGGAAAGAACTGTAAGCAAGTACTGAACTCTAGCTAACAACATGCAGGGTAAAGTATTTAGGGTGATGTGAACTGACACCTGAAACTTCCTTTGAAATGCATCCAAAAAATAAGAGAGATGGATGGGTGGTTAGAAATACAGATTGAGGCTGTCAAGGTGATTCACAAGGTGAAAACTGAGGTTTAAGTCCAGCCCAGGTGAAAAGTTAGCAAGACTCCATCTCAACCAATAAAAAAACTGGGCATGGTAATACATGCCTGTCATCCCAGCTAGGAGAGAAGCATAAACAGGCAGATCAGGATCCAGGCTGGCCTCGGTATAAATTCAAGACCCAATCTGAAAGCAATAGAGGTCTGGGGGACCGGGCATTGGGGTGGGCAGGTTCAGGTGGTATAGCACCTGCCTGGCAAGTGCAAGACCCTGAGTTTAAACTACAGAACCACCAAAGAAAGAAATACAAATTGAGAGACAGTTACAAGATAGTGCAAATCTAGTCATTTGTTAGCAGCTGATTCTAAGCAGTGGGGACATGAGTGTTCACTACAAAACACTTTTTGACTTTCGTGTTTGTTGAGAAAAATTAAAATAAAATGTCCCACAGAAAATAAACAGCCTTGTAAACTGTTAATTGCTAAACTATCAGCGGTGGTTAAAAATACAGCCTCTGGAGGCTAATTGTGTGACTTTGATTTCAAGCTCTGCTTCTCACTAGTGGTGCAGCCCTGAGCAAATGACCTCATCTCTCTAAGCCTTTGCTTCCATATCAGTGAAATGGGGCTATTAATAGCATTCGCCTCATAGAGTTGTTCAGAACAGGGCTTGGCACCTAATTAGCACCCAGTAAGCATTCATGAGGATTTGACCCTCCAAACAATGCTACTCTGATGAGCTCAGAGATAGGCTCAGAGAGGTTCTGCAGTTCCTTCCAGTTCACACAGCATGGAAATACTTCTCTAAGTAGAAAAGTGACCATGGTTCCTCCAGCCCCCCAAGCCCTTTCCTTGATCTTACCTGATAAGATGAAGAAGATGCCAGAAACAAAGGCCAGAATGGTCCTCTGTGGGCGGATGTGGCCGATGTTGCTTATGACGAAGGCCGTGAACACGAGGAACAGACTGACCATGGGGAAGGGAGTGGCCGTGCGCACTGTCTCTGAGGGAGGCACAAGGGGGAGAAGAAGGGGTGAGGAGGAAATCTCTAGTGGGCCATCTCCCCATTCCCTTGACCTCCATGTCTCCCTTCCACCGTTGGTCCCTTTGGTTCCTCCCCTTTCCCAGGGTCCTCCCCTTTCTCTGATACTTCCACTGCTTATTCCACCCTCACCCCATCACACTCCCTGGCTTGATTCTACTCCTTTCATGTGGACTCCTCCTAGTCAGGCCCCACCATAACAACCTAGTCCCTTCTTCTTACCCACTATTCTGCCTTCTTTCAAATCTCCATCCTTCACTTGGACCCTACCCCTTCCCTAGTCCTGTCCTTTCTCCCATGACCCCCTTGATTCCTGGGCTCCTCCCTCGCTTCCCCTCACTCAGAATATTCTCCGTGTTTTCCGTCACCAAGTTGATCTCTGGCTCAAGGAAGTATTCTGAGGCCACACAGCGACCCTTCTCCCGACCTGGTGTGGGGGAAGACAAAAAAAAAAAAAAAAGCTGGGCTGGAGGAGAGGCTGTTAAGCTCCAGCGAGGTCATCATGGACTGGATGGACAGGGAAGATCGAAGATGGAGAAACAGAATCTTCGCCCAAAGATTATGGTGTGCTCTGCTCTTGAGGGAGGGCAGGGTGGAGGGGAAGGGTGGGAGGTTTGGAAGCTCTGGTGAGTTGCCCCAAATTGGGATCTAGGAGATCCCAGGATGGAGGAAGGCAAGAATGCATCCCCGTGTCCTAAGTAAAGAAAGGGCTATAGATCAGGGCTCCTTGGTCCCTAAAACGGATAAGGTCCAGAGGGCCAGGATTCTTAAGTGGAAAGCACTTGGTGGCCTTCTGGGAGGCATGAGTTCTTTTATCTTGCCCATGCTCCTGTCCTGTCCAGGAGACAAGTTCTGGATCTAAACTGCTGACCCTAAGGGAGGTCTCAGGGTTGGGGGAGAAGGATTAGAACCTGGACTTTGATCATGGGGTGGGGTTGCTAGATTTAGGGAATAAAGGGCTAGGATAAAGTCTCCATGTCAAAATTTAACTTCCAGGAGAGAAACAGGATCAGTTCCTGGATTTTTGGAGCCCAGGAGATTGGAACTATGTTAAGAACTCGGGTCCCAGGCAAGGTAGGAGATGCTGCACCTGCAAAGAAGCAGACTCGCCAGAGGCCAGCGTGCAGCGCCATCTTGACCTCGGTGGTCTGATTCTGCGGCAACACGATCCCCTCCTCCATGTACAGCCAGTAGTCCGTGCTGACCGCGATGCCCACGAGGAGCAGGCCGCAGGCACCAAACACGCTGCTAAGCAGGGTCAGGGCGCGACTGCTGCAGTGACTCATGCTCAGCGGCGGGGGGCGCCCTGCGGGGCCTGCGGGATGGGAAGTTGCCGGTGGAAAGCTTGAAGACCAATCAGAATCCCCAAAGCCATTTAGCTCTTTGGGACATTGCACCCTGGCCAGAGACACAAACTCCAAAACTGAACTCTCAAATCTGACTGTTATGTTCTGAACTAGGACCATAGCCCTGGACTCTGGCCAGACACCAAGAGTTGACCCTGAACCTAAGACTGGACTTCCCAGACTTGCCAACTGTGCTCTATCTGGATCTGGATCACCAACCCCAGGATAAGATTTCCAGCCATAACCTTCAGACCAGACCCAGAGACTGAATCTTGATTCCAGCCATGTCTGAACCTGGCTCCCAAATATTATTCTCACCAGAAACTCTAATTCCAGAATGTCAGCCCCAGAACCAGAATTGTCAGACCCAATCTCCTGTCCTAACCTTAGAAATCAGACCATACCAGAATCCCTAACCTTGAGCCTGACCCATTGATTCAGAAATTATTACACTAATCAATAGCTTCAATTTTAGTAACTGGCACCCCAGTCCTGACTCTGTGCCCTGGTTCAAGCCCCTAGTTGTGAACACTAGACTCCAACCAGGACCCATCACCCCAACTCTGAGCCAGGAGCTAGGGTATTAGGCTTAGACACTAGATGCTATACCACTTAACCTGTTCATAAACTCTAACCCAAGACACTCAACTTAATTCCTGATCTAATACACTGATACCTGTCCTTTAGACCCTATCTCTAAAATGCTATAGAAATCCCCAAAGTGGGTCACCAATCCAGGATCCCTAACTCTATACCCTGTTCTCATGCCTACCTAAGACTTCAAGCAGAAGCTCCCACCTGAGTTTAAACTCTTGGACTTTTATCTTGACCTTAACACCCAATTCTATTACCAAGAAGTTAGACCCATCTAACTCTGATCCTGTGCCGATTTCAATTTGGTACCCCAATTACAGCCTGCAATTCAGAGCCAAGGTTCCCCTACCCTAATTTCACCCTCCCAGATCCAGACAGGCTCCTGACCCTGGAATGGTGGAACTTGTTCACAAGCTATTGAGACTCAGAAACCTGGAGCCACAATGATATTGATCAGCAACCACAGAATATCAAACCATGAGCTAAATTCTTTGACCCAGCATCCCAACCAGAGTATTCCAGTAAAATAAGGTACCCTCATCCTACAAATTAAGAATCAGTACTCTGAACTCTGAAATTCCAATCAAGAATTCCAGTATCCCCATCCCCTACCATATGGTCTAGAGACACTAGACCCTGATTTCCCATGCTAGGACTCCCATCCACAGATCCTGTTCAAAATCCAATATGGAACCTGGATCCCAACACTGGACCCTATAAATAAGAAATCCCCAGTTCATAGCTGTAGCTTCCCAAATTCAAATTAGGAGCTCAGAGATTCCAGATGGGGGCTCCTCAAGCAGAACTGAAGGACTCCAAGTTCTTTACATATAATACTCATTTCCTAACAATAAATTAGGGACAAGCAATCCCCTCATTTCCTAACAATAAATTCTTGTAAGCCACATAATGCCATGATGTAAGGTAGTCATATTGGAATCCCCAGCTTATGTCAGCGAGAGATCTCAATATTCCTGAACACCAATGATACCCATTATCTTTTTAGCCATGAAGTTTGAGACCCTCCCTAGACATTCCTCCAACAATGCAATCAAGACATGAGACTCCACCTTCCTCAACCAGAATTCTTGTGGGTTTGAAAGTCTGCTTCACCCCAATAAGGACCCAGGAGTCTGAGCTATCCCTAACCCTCGCACTCCCAGCCTCCAGAGCCCCCCACCTCCATCCCCAGCCTCCTGGTGGACTCAGGGATCCCAGATCTGGCAAAGCACTGGCCAGCTTTTCTTCTCATTCCCCAACCCCCTCCCTCCCCCACCCCGCGTGGCTCCGGGACTTGACCGCCAGCTGCCTTGCTCTCCTTCCAGTCCTCCCAGCACCACAGGCATCGTCAACCCTGTTGGCCTGACTGTCAGTCCAGGTACCTGGCCTCAGCTTTCCCCGTCTGCCCCTCGGACTCCCAGGCTGGACTTTGTCACTTCACATCTTCTCACTTCCCCATTCAGGCCGCGGTCCAGTTCCTCTTCTCTCTACCTGACCCACTCACAGCTCCTTTTTCTGAAGCCCTTCCTCCTTTGGGACCATCCCCCCAGGCCTGGAGCCTCTTTCTCAGCCTTTATCCCAGCCTCTCCGGGATCCAGGCATTTGGGTCTCCGGGGTCCCTTGTCTTAAAACCCAAGTTCAAACTCCATCGCCTTTCAATCTCCTGGGAGTCCATAACTCCCCCTTTCTTGGGTCCCTCCCTTACGGGCCTGGGCCCTCTACCCTGGTACCGCCCTCCCCAATAATCCTGTATAGACCCTCCCCAGTGGCAACATCTCTGAGACTCAGACACTAGAAGTATAGTTTCCCCACTCCGGGACCCTCAGACCCCGCGTCCTCCGGGATTCGCCAGGCCCAAATATCCCTCCATCACCCCCGCCCAAACTCCCGAATTCGGTCGTCCTGACCACTAGGATCCCAGTCCTGGAGCCATTCAAGCCTTTTAGTCCCAGTCCCGGCTCAAAGACCCCTCTAGCGGCGCCCCCCCACCCCAAAAGCCTTCAGGACCCTCCCCTCGCGCTCACCTCTCTCAGGGCTGGGCGGACGCTCCGGGCCGCGGGCTCCGCAACCGCATGACCGGCCCCGCGGCTTCCCCCGGCCGCCGCCACCACCACCGGGGTCGCCGGTGCCCGCGCCCCCCGCCCCTGCCCCGGAGCCCGGCGTCCCGGCCCCCTCCCGGGTTCCCACCCCCCACCCCCCGCTCCCGCGGCCTCACTCGGCGAACGGAGCCAGGAGCAGGGACCGGCGGCCGCTCATTGGCTACTGCGGAGGAGGGGAGGGGCGGGGAGAGATGGGAAAAGGATGCAGGGAGGGAACGAGATGGGCCTGGAGGATGGGGGAGGCAGAGAAGAAGAGAGAATAGAAACCGAGGCAGAGAGCCCGAGAGGGGCAGAGGCACAAAGCGAGACAGAGGGTGGGAGGGAGGGGAGAGAGAGAGAGAGAGAGAGAGAGAGAGAGAGAGATAGTGAGAAAGCAGAGACCTTGAGGCTGAGAGCTTCAGAGACTCACGGGTCCTGAGACTGAAAGAGGCAGAGACAGACAGAAAAGGAGAGACAGAGACAGAGTTTAAGATTTCCCCACCCCCTCCACCACTACCGCGGCTCAGAAATTTTGAGGCCCTGGAAGTGGAGAGGTCAGAGACCCAGAAAAAGACAAGGAGAGCTCGGGAACCTTGCTCGAGAGAGCCTGAAATCCAGAGACCTTGAGCTTGGGGAAGAGAGAGGAGAGAGACAGAGAGAGAGAGAGAGACAGAGAGAGAGACAGAGAGAGAGAGAGACCCCGAGGAGCCGAGGACACAGGCAAGCTTGGGGGTCTCCTGATGAAGACTGGGGCTCTAGCTAGGCCAGGGTCTGGACGGCTGGAGGAGGCGGGAGGGGCGTCCCGGGTCGGGGTCCCCAGAGCAGCGGGCGGGCGGGCGCAGAGCAGAGCTGGGTCCTGCAGCCGCCGCGGAGCCGGGAGCCAGGCCAGCGCCCCCCCCCCGCCGTGATGTCAGCGGGGCCACTCTTAAAGGGGCAGGCCGCCCGCCGAGGGTCGGAGCCGGGGTTGGGGCCTGCGGGCACGGGATGGGGGTGCAGCAGTGGTAATGCAGGAGTCAGGGGGAAATGCGGCAGCTAGTTGGACTGGGGCCCGGAAACCCAGGAGCCTGCAGAGAACTAGAGATGCTGGGTCCCCAAGGAATTTGCGAAGCTTTGGGGCTCAGTCCCCTCCAAACACACTGACAAGCTCACCACTCAGCGGGCTGTCCCGTCTAGGGACTACATTCCCCATAAGCCCCGGCGGCCAGGGACCACACCTGGAGGAAAGGTCTGCCGCGATGTCTTCTGGGAATTGTAGTCCATTTGGACTGGCACCCTCAACTGCCCCTCCCTGCCACTCACAAGTGGGTCAGGGGAGAGAGGCCCAGAAGATGAGTCTGTCTGCCGTCTTCCTGGCTCACTGATTCCTAAGCTCCCAGGTTCTGGCTGTTTTGGCTTCTGTGTCGTGGGGTCTCTTCCTCTAATTAAGTCTGGGTCTCTCCATAGGAAGCCAGCCTTTCATCTCCATTCCCAAGATTTTTCTTGGACTCTGGGGATTGGTGTGGGGACCAGGAGGTGGAGCACGCATTTGGTCTTAGTGGTGGTAAGGTATGGGTGGGTGGGTGATCTCTACCTGGCACTTTTAGTAGTTTAGGTGACTATCACTCACTGTGTATGCATCTACTTTGGCCCTCTCTGAAGTGCTCTCTCTCTCTCTCTCTCTCTCTCTCTCTCTCTCTGTGTTTGTGTGTGTGTGTGTGTGTGTGTGTGTGTGTCTGGTCTCTAGGGTCTCTTCTCTTCCCCCTCCTCTCATGCTGTGGGTATTTTTCTCTCTCATTCTGTGGATCCCTGTGCTTCTCCCTGTTTGTGCTCCCCCTCTCTCTCTCTCTCTCTCTCTCTCTCTCTCTCTCTCTTTCTGTTTGTTTCTATGTACAGTCACTGTCCCACCTCCGCACCCCCTTCATTCTCCAAGCTTACAAGAAAACATCCAAACACTTCAGCATGAGCATCCCAAATTTATTCTCCAGCAGCTGTGGCTGGGTGGGAGAGGCTAAGGGGGCGGAGAAGAGGGAGGTGGAGAGAGGCCCAGAGAGTGGCAGGCACTGGGGAAGGGAGGTAGGGGGTTCCGAGCAGGACTGGAGCCATGCACGGGCAAGTGCGCAGTGATGGGCTCAGGATGAGGGAGTCTAGAACAAAAGCTGATTGAGAACATTCAGGGAAAGGATCCTCCATACATCCCAGAAATCCCCAGAGCATGGAAAGGAGGTGGCCTGGAGTATGGGGCACAGCCTCCCACTTACTCTACAACTGGAGTGGAGGTGGGAGGGGCCTTGGAGGCCTGGGGTGGATATGGAATTCGAGCCAGGAGCAGGCAACCCCATGAGACTGTTTCCCCAAGGTGGGATGAGAGGGAAGGGGAGGAAGAGGCAAAGAACTACCAAAATGGAGTCTAGAACCCCACGGATGGAGTTGGGGAACTTATTGGAGCAGCATCCAGAATGCTGGAGGAAGGAAACAAAAGGCTCAGCACAGCAGAATCTAGAACACGGGAAGGCTCTAGAGACTGTATGGAGTTTAGAGTGCCAGAAATGCTTGGGAGGGGGCATCTAGAACCCGTGGAGGCAGAGGCCAGAATGCTGGGGTACAAGATCAAGAATTCCGAGGAGAGGGGAGGGGGTGATTTGGTGACTGCAGCCGGCGTGGGAGAGGGAGCACTGAGGACACCTAGCGGCAGCAGGTGAGATTACATGACTGGCACCGGCACCGGGCTGGTGGGGCTGCGGGCATCCGGGTGCACAAAGTCGGGGTTAACGTAGGTGAAGCCCTGGAAATCCGCCTGGTCGATGCTGGCCAGGACAAGGCGGTCTGGGGGTGTCAGCGCTGGCGCCGCCCGCGTGAAGAACTTGTCGAAGTTCTCGCCACTGCGGCCACACTGTGGGAAGCGCAGGGGGAAAATTAAGTTCTGCTGGCTTTTTGAGGCGAGGAAGGAAGGGTCCCGTGTCCCCTGTATCCCTCTCATGTCTCCTCCAGAATCTATACACACACTCCATGGTCTCTGCACCTCTCCACAGAGAGGCCCCCACCCCACCTCCACGTGTAGATATCAAAGCTCTGGAGTACCCCAGCCCACCAGGGACCAAGGCTGTGTAGTCAGGAGAAGGACTGACCGGACGCGGTCTAAATGGAGGCGCGATCTCCAATCGCTCCAGCCGCTCCCAATCGATCCAGCAGAAAAAACCGTGGGACCGGATGGTGGGTTCACCGTCTGGCCCCGAGCCCAGGCGCTTTCCTGGGTGCTTGGTCAGAAACTATGGAAAACACAGAGACAGACAGACAGACAGAGTCCAGGACAGAAAGGACCAGGGAAGGAAGAGAGGAATTGAGAGACACAACATAGAGATCAAGAGGGAGAACAGCAAGGGAGAACAAAAATAGAGGAGAGTGGGGAAGGGAGAATACATGAGAATTGAACAGGAATTGGAATTGATAAATGCAGACCCAGAGACCCAAGGATGGACCAGAAAGATGAACAAAATCAGCATGGGGGCAGAAAACCCCAGAAAGAGAGGAGGGAAGACATGAGGGAAAAAACCTAGTGTGTGTGTGTGTGTGTGTGTGTGTGTGTGTGTGTGTGTGTGTGTAAGAAGGGAGGAAGAGAGAGAGAGAGAGAAAAGAAGAAGGAGGAGGAGGAAGGGGAAGGAAGAGGGAGGAGAGGAGAGGAAAAGAGAAGAGAAGAGAAGGTTGGAGTCCAAGAAACTCAGAAAGACAGAGTACAGAGAGCCAGGGGACAGAAATTCAGAGACAAGAGGAAGACAGAAATCCATAGTATGTGTTTATGAGAGTGGGAAGAGAATAACAGAAACCCAGAGAGAGAGGAACAGATGCCAAAGTGTGAACAGAGAAATACAGAAGAAGACACCAAGAAAAGGTAGAGATACAAAAGGCCCATCATATGTAGATGGAGGCAGAGGTATGAGACAAAACCCAGGAAGAGACCATCAGAGAGATGTGGGGATAGGAGCTAGAAGCAGAAGTATGCTGACATTTGTTGCAAACCTTCCATGGGCCAGTCTCATTCTCCTGCATTAACTCCACCACTCAGGAGGAGAAGACTGAGGCTCACAGTTGTAGTGACTCTTTCAGGAGCCCACAGAAAGAAAAGGTGCAGGTTTATCTGATCCACCCAGCTCTGGAGAGACAGGCCTAGGCCTCTTGACACTTCCTGAGTGAGCTGGGGTCTGGTACTACAGAGGAGTGTGGGATAGAGGCCATCCTTGGTCTGGGGTGGCCACAGGGTGGCAAATTATTGTTCTAACAAAACCTATGTATTCCATCAACTTTTCTGGAAGATGGACGCAAAGTGACATGATGGATGGGAACCTTTTTCTAAAAGAGATGGCAATGAGGTGCATGGGGTTGTGAGTTTGGAAAAGGTGGGAGTTGGGCTCTCACCCCCTTGCAGATGGCAACAGCTTCCCGGGAAAGTGACTTGGGGTAGGTGACAGTCTGCTCCATGATGGCCTGAAACAGCTCCTCCTCATCCTCTCCATCAAAAGGTGGCTATGGAAGTGAGCAAATAAAGTCAGACCTGCCAAACTACCTTTCCAAAACATTCACACTCTCCTCAACCACTGTGAACACCACCAACCAATGGATGATGCCTCCCCCCTGCCACCAACAACTCCCCAGGGTGAGCTGATCAAACTACCAAAGCTTCATCTCTCTCTAATTTCCTATCTCTTGTGCCTCATCTGTGCATCTCTCTATTGTCTGGCTTTCTTTATCTGCTCTGTAAATCAACAGGGTGTTGATTAGACAAAAAATGTGTCATGTAAATGAGAGAGAGAAAAACTGTGAAAGATGGAAAATGCATTCTTTTGGATGGATGAATGGTTCCCAGCATCCTGGAGTTAGGAAAGGCAATACCAAGACAAGGGTTCTTACAGTAGTGATTTTTTTGTGTGTGTGGCTATACTGTGGTTGGAACTCAGGGCCTCACACTTGCTAGTCGGGCACTTTAACACTTGAGCCAAGCCCTTAGTCCACAAGGCAAGGGTTCTTAATTTAGAGTCTAGATGGTTTGCATATACAACTGAGGAGTCTATGAATTTGGACAGAGGGAAAAAATATCTTTATTTAAGCCATGAGCAGGAATTCAGCATTTCCTCTCATTATGAATGTAGAAAACAAGTTTAAGCAGCACTTACAGCTTCATCACCAGTAGAAATCATGGACATTTTCTTATCATGAGAATTTCAGATATGACTGAGTCTAACTTATTCCTACCTCAAAATTACTGTTATGCCTTCCTCTTTACTTCCTATGACTGTTAAAGCTTACCATTTAATGAACTAACAAGAAGCTGCCTATATGTTGATGGCCCAATGTTAAATATTTAGACGACTGGATATGTTTCAATTGATTTAGTTGGTTGAGTTAAATTCAATTAAATTTTGAGAACCACATTTCAATATGATTGATATTTCTTGTCATTCTGTTATTTTATTTTGTACACATGAAAGCATTGTTATGAGAAGGGTACACTGTTCTGCTAAAGGGGTCCATGCCACCAAAACAAAATGAAGCATTCTGAGTGAGGTTAGCCTGGCTCAAAAGACCAAAAATCGTATGTTCTCCCTCATATGTGGACATTAGATCAAGGGCAAACACAACAAGGGGATTGGACTATGAGCACATGATAAAAGCGAGAGCACACAAGGGAGGGGTGAGGATAGGTAAGACACCTAAAAAACTAGCTAGCATTTGTTGCCCTTAATGCAGAGAAACTAAAGCAGATACCTTAAAGCAACTGAGGCCAATAGGAAAAGGGGACCAGGAACTAGAGAAAAGGTTAGATTAAAAAGAATTAACCTAGAAGGTAACACCCACGCACAGGAAATCAATGTGAGTCAATGCCCTGTATAGCTATCCTTATCTCAACCAGCAAAACCCCTTGTTCCTTCCTATTATTGCTTATACTCTCTCTACAACAAAATTAGAGATAAGGGCAAAATAGTTTCTGCTGGGTATTGAGGGGGGGAGCGGGAGGGGGTGGAGTGGGTGGTAAGGGAGGGGGTGGGGGCAGGGGGGAGAAATAAACCAAGCCTTGTATGCACATATGAATAATAAAAGAAAAATGAAAAAAAAAAAGAAGAACCCCTGAGCTATGGTAAGATAATGCTTCAGGACCATGGACAGCAGTGTCACCCTGTGACCTTTCCAATGGCTCAGCATACCTGCATAGACTAGAGGAGTGTGTAAGTAGAGGATTGCCTTCTACCTTGCTTCTCCAGATAAAGGCCACATAAGAAGGGGCACTCCACTCTGTGTGGCCTTTAGCCAAGCCAGCACCCCCATCCAATCTTCCCTTACCTGTCCTGCCAACATCTCATATAGCAGAACCCCAAAGGACCACCAGTCGACAGACTTCCCATACGGCTGATAGGCAATGATCTGGAGGGAGGGTAAGAGGCAAGGATTTGTGATTTTTCTTTAAGAAGCCTAGGATCCCATTGGCATCATCCCCAGGAGCCCTACCCACACTTCAAGTTCTTTCAGCACAAACTCTTTCCACTCCATGAATACTTTGGCTAGAACTCCACCCTTTGGATAATTCAAGAAACAAAGTTTACCTACTTAGAACATTCCTTTACTCTCAAACATAAAGACTACCTAAGGCCCAATAGAAGGGTAAACTTCCATTTGAATGTTGGGTGTATGGGGGTAAATTTCAGAAAGCTGAGATTCTTAAACTTGAATGAACATCAGAGTTATCTAAGAGACTGTTTTTTTAAAAAATAGGTGTTTCCATCCCTGAAGAATTCTGGCCTCATTAAGCAAGAATTAGAGTCGGCAATATGTGTGTAACTTTCTTTCTGCAGGTGAGTCTGATTACCAGCCAGGTATTGTGACCCCTGACATTGACTACTTGGTCCCTAACATTGATCAGCTGAAAAGATGAAGGGACTGTATCTCCAACATAATCTCCAACCCAGCTTACTAATGTCAGCATGTGCACCCAAGTATATTAACATTCAGAATACTAGGTCTAGCCCCTAAACAATGACAGAGTGATTTTCTGCCCAATGAAAATACTCAAGGCACAGCATTTGCTTTCATAGTGTTCTTAGGAATCTGGTCCTCCTAGAATGGCAGAAGGGCAGCCTACTTGGACCAAAGAACATGTTTGAGGCCCTGGATTCCAGTCTCCAGCACCCCCCCCACACACACACAGGAAAAAAAAAAACCAAAACTATGTGCAACACTTATCAATGAGCTTTTGTCCAATTGAATACTCAAGGGAAAGCCCCACCCAGATAGAATGCACAGGAGACACAGCCTCAGGGCTACACCCACTCAGGGTGCACTATAAATAGTCTCCACCTTCTTAGAATGGTTCATGCCCTACTCAGAATTCCTACAAGCTGGTCCCACTCCCTTAGAACATTCACCTACAGGTCCTGCTCACTTTACCTAGTTAGAAACCCAACTACCTCACTTAGAGTGCTAGGCACACAGGTCTTTCCATGCAAGACACTGGAGGAACACCTCATCTGGTTAGGACACCCAGGGACATGCCTTGCTCGTTATGAATACTAGAGACATCAAGTGGGCAGCCTGGGCAGCAAGCATTGGGTTACCTCAGGTGCTATGTAGTCTGGAGTCCCACAGAAGGTGCGGGTTGTGGTCCCAGGGAAGACATTCTCTTTACACATGCCAAAGTCAGTGATCTTGATGTGTCCTTCTGCATCCAGCATCACGTTGTCCAACTTCAGGTCCCTGGAGGATGGGTATGCATGTAGGAATTGCTGAGAGAGTTGAGTTCAGCAGGTTGGAGCTGTATGTTCCAATCTTTCCCCTCTAGGGGCCTGATTTCCCTCTATGGGAAAGTCTGGGGCTACTGACCTGTAGATGATGCCCTGGTTGTGAAGGAAGAAGAGACCGATGGCGATTTCTGCTGCATAGAACCTGGAGGAGTAGATGGGAAGTCAGAAGGTCAATGACTGCACCTACCCTTCCCAGCTTCCCGACCCCTTTCTCTCTTAGATGTGACTCACGCTGCATGGGGCTCCTTAAACTTGCCCAACTGCTGAATGTGGTACATCAAGTCGCCCCCGGTTACATACTCCATCACGAAATACAGGCGATCCTAGGGAGGAGTGGGAGGGGCTTAGACAAAAGGACACATCCACTCAGGACAAACGTGGAGGGCATTGAATCCACTGAATAGAAAGGCCAGAGCAACTGGCCACAGCCACAGGAAGGCCCAAGGTTCTAACCTTGCTGCCCAGTATCTACTGGGCCCTATACATCCCTGGTTGCTCCAATCAAGTGTTCTGGTCTAGCCTTCCCAGAATTGAACATTGAGGCTCACACTATTGGACTGAAATCCACTCACCAGAACCTCTTTCCACATTCGGTCACTCACGCACCTAATTTTGGTTACCTATGACTAGAGATGGTGAAGCTTCACCTGCAATTATCGTTTTTATTACAGGAAGGTGGTCATATCCATTCAGAGCTGCTGGAAGCAGAGTCACACCCTCTTCAAACCCTGAAGGTTCTGACTCCTTACTCCCTGCCTTAGTCTTAGGGAAACACCTATTTCAGATTCACAGTCAGAATCCGAAAGTGATCCTCTCTGTCACTTGGAGCCTAATTCAGGGTTTGCTCATTCAGAAGATATTTCCATCCACATGCTCCCCAACGCACTGACTGCGGCTCTCAAGACCAAGCTGGCATTCTTGGCCATGCCCCTTCCAATCCCATCCTTCTGGCCACGCCCCAGCTCTGACCCACCTACAAGCCCATGCGCCTGGCTACGCCCATTTAGAGTGCAAGGTTCTTTTGCCTTGCCCTAAGCTCAGAATCTCAAAGGGGATATCAAGTCCATCCACAGGGAGAGGAGACAGGGCTATACATACATACAGTCAGCCTCCATCTCCCTTCTTCCTCACCGGTGTCTGGAAGGTGGAGTGGAGCTGGGTGAGAAAGTGGGGCCGGCCACCAGGACCTCTGCCCCCCAGGGCCAGCACACGTTTTTCAACTAGGGTACAGTCCACGTCGTCATCCTGGACAATCACATCCTTTTTCAGGATCTTGATGGCGTAAAGCTCATCAGAGCCCCTGCGCTCGGCCAGCATCACCTGTGGACAGAGGACAGGGACCAGTCCACTTTGGGAATTCAGTGTGCAGATCCTTGCACTTTCAGGAACACAGAACAGGATCCCAAGTCCTTCCCGCTCTCTCAAGGGACTTGGTTCCCCTGAATTGCGCCCACCCCTTCAAGGAAAGTATTGGCATCTTTATACCTCCAGGAACCCAAGAAGCCCAATGGAACCCCAAAATCCAACCTCCCCACGGACATCCTTCCCTTCCTCCACAACCCCAGAAATCCAACCTTCCCAAAACTGCCTTTCCCTAGAACCATGAGGAAGCTGAAGTCGGAGATGTGCAGGCGTCCTTGGCTGGCCCCAAAGAAGCAGCGCTTGGGATCCGTGGGACTAGGAGATGGGGAGGGGATGGGAGAGGAAGAGGGGCCCATCCGCACTCGCTGTGAGAAAAGGAAGAGACAGTAGGAGGTAGTTAGAGGCCAGACAGGGACAAAGAGATGCCCCCCAAGAGAGACAGCATCCAAGTATGAAAGGGACAAGGAGAGACAAGAAAAAGAAAATGCCACCGCTCCCACACCTTACTTTTTAAGAACTTTCTCTGACGTTCCATAGCCTGGAAGATTTATTATCTAAATGACATTTAGTTTACTATATACCATCTCTTGCTCTTGCTATTTTACAGAAGAGGCAACTGGCACACAGAGGTTAAATAATTTGCCCAAAGTCACACAGTGGGTAAACAACAAAGTTAGAAATCAAACTTGAACAGTTCAGCCCTAGAGTCTTGCTGCTCTTAGCCTCTAAGCCAGATCTCCTACAGGTACTGGCAAAACAGACCTTGGAGCCCCACTCTCAGGTTTTCTGATTCTGTAAGTCTTGGGGGTGCTGAGAATTTACATTTCTAGCAAATTCCAGGGTGATGCTACTGTTGCTGATCTGAGGACCACACCTGACTTTTAGCTATGGCGTCTTCTCCACCTCTCCACTTTTTCCGGCACTGGCCATGACTGAGCACAGCTTCCACACATATCCTTCTACACCGCTACTGCCCTTTCTAATTCAGTCTCTACTCAGCAGGCAGAGAGACCAATTTAAAAATAAATAAACCAGGTCATGTCTCCCCTATGCTTTCCATCCTTCTAAGGGCTTCTCTGTGTGGCTTCAAGACCAGGCTCCTCTCTCCCCCTCCACAGCCTCATACACAGCCTGGTGTCAGGCTGCCCTCTCTCCAAGGCTGTGGGACATACCACTCTCTCTTCCTGAAGTCCCTCCTCTGCCACTTCCTCTCCTTATTTCTCAAACATCCTTTAGTCCTTGAATCAAGCCTTACTTCACAAGTCTCTTCTGATTGTTTTAATGGGATCATTTGTCCCTCTTGTGCTACCATGGACAGCTCCTTTGAAACTGTAATTTATAACTCTTTCTCTGTATGTGATATCTGCTTACATTCTGTGAGCTTTCTATGCAAGGGTCCATTCTATTCTCCAAGACAGAGAGACAGTGCTTGGAGCAGAGCTGAGGCTCAGGAAATATTTATTGAATGATACAATCTTGTACAGAAAAGACATCTGACCTTCTAGTTTTGGACCCTAGCCACTGTTAGGTTCTCTCCATTAACTCATCTGCAGGGGTAGCAGGAATAACTTCCAATAGAGTTGTGACCAGTAAATAATTAACATATGCAAAACACTTAGAAGAGTGTCCAGAATGTAGTAAGGGCTGTTTGTGTTTGCTATTAAGTGTTATACCTGCCCCCTACCCAGGACCTAGTTCAGGGTCTGGAAAATAGGTAATACTAATCGGTGCTTACTGAGTTGTAGAAGATAGCTGTGAACACCATGGAGACCCTGTTCTATCATTGATACTCATGGATTAAGGAATTTGTCAATAAAGTACAAAGACAGAATTCAAAGAAAATTATATGTACTATCACTTGTTTGTATTTTATTTTATTTTGCTTTGCTTTCTTCAGAACAGGTTTAAAGGGACTTGTTAATCCTCAAAAGGTTGAGTGATCAAGAATAAAATGAAAGCCAGGCACAGGTGGCTTACACCTGTAATCCTAGCTATGTGGGAGGCTGAGATTGGGAGGATCAAGGTTTGAGGCCAGCCCTGGCAAATAATTCATGTGACCCCATCTCCAAAGCAACCAGAACAAAATGGACTGGAGGTGTGGGTCAAGAGGTAGAGTGCCTGAAGAAGAAGAAAGAAGAAAGAAGAAGAAGAAGAAGAAGAAGAAAATGAAGAAGAAGAAGGAGAAAAGGAGGAGGAGGAGAGAAGAAGAAGTTGTTTCTAGCCTAGGGTGCAGTGACTCACACCTGTAACCTAAGCTTCTTGGAAGGCAGAGATTGGGAGGATCAACGGTCAAGGACAGCAGCGGTGGTATGTGTGTGTGGGGTGTTGGAATTCATGACACTCCATCTTAACCAATAAAAGCAGAGCATAGTGGCATCTCTTGTCAACTCAGTTATATGGGAAATAAGAAAACTGGGATCCAGGCCAGCCTAGGCATAAATATGAGATCCTATTTGAAAAAAACTAAAATGAAAAAGGTTGGCAAAGTGGCTCAAGTGGTAGAGCACTTGAAATCCTGTATTCAAACTCCAGGACCACCAAAAAAAAAAAAGGTCACAATTTATAATATAGTAAAATTTAAATTATTGGGCTGGAGGCATGACTCAAGTGGTAAAGTATCTGCTTAGCAAGCATAAAGCTCTGTGTTCAACCCCAATCCCACCAAAAATATAAAAAATTTAAAAAATTAGATTTTAGATTTTGGCTCTTCAGGACCAACCACCACCATACATACCTCCTTCCACTGTTACTCATGACCCCTCTGTTTCACTCATGACCCCTCTGTTTCACTCAAAACCCCTCTGTTTCAGACACATTCTGTCCCCAACTTCCTACTGCTAGATCTTTGCCCACCATCTGCCAGGTCTCTACAAACTAAACCTTCTCAGTCAAATACACAGGAGGGGCATCCTTGCTATGTAGCTACTGAAAGAATGAAAGATTCAACCTCTCTGGGCCTGAATTTCCTCCCTATGTCCAGCTCTCAAACTTAACCAAACAAAGGAACCATCTGAGGAATGTGTTTAATATGTAAACAATCTCACTTAGTAGGTCTGCAGAGAGACAAGAAATGTGTATAAGGAATCTTATAATTCTGATGCAGCAATTTCAAGTTCAAACACAACTTGAAAACCCTGGTAGGAGTTGGCTATAAGAGTCAAGGAAAGACTAAAGCATGCTGTTGTTGTTTAATATTGGGATTTCTTGGGTCTGGGAATCTAAATGACAGGTGCGTGAGTATCCCATTCCCCATGAAGAGCACTATGAGCCCTGCACCCTGAGAAGGAGTTATAAATCTGCATTCCTGCACCCTGAGGAGGAGATACAGGGTCTCATAAATCTGCCATGGGGCTGATAAACAAAATGCTCTCAAGGTTGTTCCCTGGTCCTCCCCCACCCCATAAGGGCAAACAGACCAGATCATCTAAGAGAGCCTGCGAATCCATGGCCAATGGAAAGAGTCCTTCTAACCCCTACCCTAACCCAGAGTTAAAGTGTCCATAAAAATCCCCAGCCTTCACCTGAGCAGGAAGCCACCAGTTTCCAGGCTCCACTGCACTGCTCTAGCTGTAGCATTTCATTTCTGTCTAATGAATCCTACTTTGTGTACCAGCCTTGTCTCACGAGTCAATCAGCTGCCTCATGAGTCAATCAGCTGCCTTACAAGCCAGTTCTCTGGCCTGTGAAGGCAAGGACCCTTGACACTGGCCTACAACATTTCACACCAGTATGTAACAGATTCTCACTGCTAGTCCCTGTCTTTCAGGTCTCATGCTAATGCTGCCTCAGCCTAGGCAAGTGCATACCTGTATCCCAGCACTCAGAAGGACTGTGAGTTCAAGGCCAGTCTGAGCTACATAGTGAAACTGTTTTGTTTTGTTTAAAAAACAAATAAACAGACCTAAACACTGCCTCTTCTGGGAGCCCCCAAACTGGGCAACGATGCCTCCTTGGGCTCCTACCAAGCTGTGCAGAACCTCCACTGTGCTAAGGATCCCTCCATCCATCCTGATGGTGTGTGTCGAGGGTTCTGAGACTCTCCTGCAGCTTAAAGCTTCTCAACGTCACCAAGCACATATCTTGGTGCACAGAAGGTCTAGCTAAGAGGGTGTTGAATGGAGACTTTTGGAGGGCTAGTGGTGTGGCCCAAGTGGTAGAGCCCCTGCAAACATGACACCCTGCCTTCAATTCCTCCCCCAAAAAGAAGAGTGCTGCAAGCACTTTCCCTCACCCAGACTTCACAGCAGAGCAAACCCATCTCCTGCCTTCTTCTTCCAGACAGCCTTTTTTCTCCTTCCAGCTTTGCCTCCCACTGTCTACTCTCTACACAGAGCTGGTGATCTTGTTAAAGTCTACATCATCACAGGCCACCCCTTCAACATCTTCCCCTCTCACTCAGCTTAAAAGCTAAAATTCCTCCAAGGGATAATGAGGCACCCTCTTCTCTGACTCTGTCTCCTTCTCCTCCCCTGCCCTGCCTCTGCTGCAACTTCCTGCTGCTCTCTACCCTTCTAGCCTACTGCAAAGCCCTTCTCTGGGGATCCTCACTCTCCCCTTTCCTTTGCCCAACAGTCACTTTGTTAGTGAATACTTTCTGCCCACTGCTGTTAAAATTGTAAAACCTTCCCTAGCAGCATTCCCTATCCCACTTGCTGCTAGTTTTCTTCTTATCATTTATCAACTTCTAACATACTATCATGCACTTACTTATTTTGTTTCATGTTCTTCTTCTGAGGGTAAACAACATGAGGGGAGGAGCTTTTTCTGTCTTGTTCTCTGCTACATACAAATCCCCAGTGACTAGAACCATGCCTTCACACAGAGGTGCCCAAGAAAATATATTTTGAGGGAGAGAGACTTCTTGACTTCTAGTCTCTGCTCTCTGCGAAGCTGCCGGGTTCCCTGATGCCTAAGGCTAAATCCATGATCAAACACAGGTTCTCTTGTCCTGAAAATCTCAGGCTGCCTCCTTCATTTTACCAGGAGCCCCAGGGAACAGCCTGATTAACTACACAGAACAACACCTACCTTAAACCCCACATCAGGAAATAGTGTTCAATGAGTGAGTAAGACAGTGAATAGAGGAAGAAGAGTCCCAGCAATTGCTAGATAGAAAAACTAAAGGATGAATTCAGGGGTCACTGCCTCAGGGAAGCCCTCCCTGAACACCTGCCCTCTAGGCTGGGCCAGTGCTTCCTTCACACCTCTGCAGTGTCCAGGGCTACCTGGACTTTTTAGCCTTAGTATTTATGATGGAGTCCCTGCCTGGGGAGTCACTAAGATTATTCAGTGGGTACAGGATGGATCTGGCACACAACAGTGCTCAACTCATATGTATAGAATTGAAGATGACAGAAATCAGAGAAGGGAGAAGTAGAGAAGGAGGGAGGAAGAGAACAGGCCTCATTTTGATGTCTCAGTTCTACTCACCTCATACAATTCCAAGGGATAGTTACAGGCCTGGGGAAGAAGAAAGTCAAAAGTCAGGGCCCTAAGAGGTAGGAGATAGTTCTAGAGCAGGGGCCAGGCCCCTATTATCCTCACGCCATAGGGATTGAGAACTACATTTCCCATCAGACCCTGGGGCTAGAGGCCATGGTAAGAACAGAGGAATGAGCCCCAGGGTCTTCTGGGAATTGTAGGCCCAGTACCAGTGGGCCACCAGAGGGTAGAGGGCAAGGCCAGCTCTGAACTGGGGCAAGCTAGGCTGGGCTCCCCTGGGGAAGCCGGTCCGGGTACCTCAAATTTCTGGAGGAGGCTGCAGTTGTCAGCATCGGCCACCGGCACATTGTAATATTCGCCCTCCTCCTGGTTCAGTAACTTGTACCTGACATACAGACGGAGACCAGGGCCGGGCAGGGGTAGGGGAAGTAGGGCACCCAAGAAAGAGGCAGAGACATCCAAAGGGAGGAAAGAGACACAGAAAGACAGACACAGAGATGGAGAGAGAGAAAGAGTGAGATAAGGAGAGGGGGGAGGCCTTTCCAGTGGCCAGAGAGGGAGAAAGAAGAGGAAGAAGAAGAGGAGGACCTGGGAAGGGGAAGGAGTTTTGGGAGGTAGAGGGAAACATGGTGGCCTAGAGGAGAGACCACACATGGAGAGAGATGGTGATACCAATGTCCACCACCAGCCCCAGCCCCACTCCTCACCAGCCATCCACGGGTGCCTTGAGCAGTTCTGAGACACCAAAGGACATGGCACCCATGAAGTCATTACGAGAAGTCCGGTCCCAGTCCCACACCTCCACGCTGAGCCGGCGCTCAACATCCCCTGGCTTCAGGTTGCTATAGAAGGGTAGAGTGGAGTCAGGGGCAAAGCTCATGGCTCCTCACTTCCCTGTCCTTGGTGCTGGAGGTGGGGCAATTCCATCCAGCTCCATAAGATGTTTTCCCACTCTGACCTCCACCCCACCAAAGGAAGTTCCTCCACTAGGGCCTTAGGTAAACCTAGACAGCTCTCAGCACTCCCCAATTCTTGACCCATCCCATCCCTGTCTCCTGGTCTTTCTCTCCAGTTCTCTGTCCTATTTCAGAATATATTTCAGTCGTTGTGCACCCTCCTTTCTCCTGGTCTCTGTCATCCTGTCTTTCTGGTTCCTCTTTCTGTCCTTGTCACTTCCTTACCCACCCACCCACCACCTTCTCCCCTCCTTTTCCATCTTTGTCTTCCTTTAGTCTTGTGCCTCTTCTTCTAAGACCTTCTCTCTCTCATTCTCTGTTGTTTTTTGTGTTTTATTTGTTTTGCTTTGGTTTTTGATACAGGGTCTTACTATGCAGCACAGGCTGGCTTCAAACTCACTATCCTTCTGCCTTAGCCTCCCAAGTGCTGGGATTACAGGTGTGAACAACATCCAGCTTCTATTTCATCTTTTCTTCCCCATATAATTGCTTCTATCTATCTGTTCCTATGTCTCTCTCATCCTGAATCCCTCTAACCCTTTTCTCTTTTTCCTCCTCTCAGTCTCTTTTTCTCTCTAGGCCTGTCTCTTTCTCTGTCCCTGTCCCCATCTCTCCTGAACATCTCTCTGGGTGTCCATCTGCCTATCCTCCTCTGATCTCTGTCTTCCTCTAAAGTGGAGGTTTGTATGGAGATTAAAGGTACAGGGAACTCTCTGCTTGTGAACTTCTGTATCTCCACCCCTCCCCTCAAGCACTCCACTCCATTCTCCTCCCATCACCTTCTTCTGCCCCTTTTTGAGGTTTCCCTCTACCTAACACCTCCCATCAGCTTCTCACTAGGGTGGTATTAGCCACTAAGACCCTCAGATCATCCTGTCAGTCATCATAGCACCCAAGCTCACAACACAAAGGTCTCGTTCCACACAGGGTTTAGTGTGGCTTTCATCGTCCGGGTCTTCTGTTTGGTCAGGTTCCGAGGGTCTGGGATGAGCTTCAGTTTCACATAGGGATCAGAGAGACCATTGGGGTCCATAGGAATGAGATTTCGGGCCTCACCAACTGAAGGGGGAGGTGAGGGAAGGCGACTTAGAGACCCAGGAAGAGGTTCCCTGTCCTCCCCCAGTCAGCAATCAAGAATTCCAAGCCTAGTCTCCTTTCTGGTGACCTCTTGTCTCCAGAACCAGAAGACACGGCGTGATGAAGTCTTTTCCCCCAACCATTCATGCAGAAATCAGACCCCTTCCTGCACTAGGACTCAGGAGTGTAGCCTCTGGCCATGGGTTGTGAACCTGATCGTTCCTCCAAACCAGGTCCTATTCATCCCACCCTCTCAAGGATCCTGACACCTGCAATGGCCATTAAAGAGGAGCTGGAAATTTTAAGAACCAAGGCTGGAGGCGGGGCTTCTGGTTAGAAAGGGGCGTGGCCTGGGCGGAATCCAGCCAGTGGGCTGGAGGATCAGGAATGTGGATGTTGCTTTTCTGGAGGGCGTGGTCTCCCAGGTTGGGGAGTGGGCCAGCCAGGCTCACATCAGGGAGAGGCGGGGCCAGCGAGGGGGCGGGGCCTCACCAGTGATGTGGATCTCGTCCGAGGTCGGAGCCCGGATTTCCAGCTGCAGACGCCCACGGCGCTCCGTGTGGTCCACGCCGCACAGCGAGGGCACGCTGCGCACACAGCGCCGGTGCACGTTCATCTCGCAGCCTGGAGCAAAAGAACTGAGGGTAGCACTTCAAGCCCAGCCCCCAACCCCCATCCTTCACTCCCCCAACACACACTCTCTGCATTTCCTCTGAACCCCGAGAAGTGCTAGGCTGGAGTGCAGGCAGCCAGCGAAACACTCACAGGAACATTTCATGCCCTGATGCACCAGTCCATAGAGGAGGGAGCCACAGTGGTCGCAGAACGTGGGGCTGCTGTAGCTGTGCAGCCGGAACTTGTGCTTGTTCCGGGGATCCTGCGGACAGAGAAGTGTCACTTAAGAGACTGACACGGTGATGCACGTCTGTAATCTCAGCACTCGGGATGACTGAGGCATTCTGGCGCTCCAGGCCAGCCTGGACTATATAGGGAGACTCTGTCTCCAAACATAAATAAATAAATAAAGTCGATCTGGGCGTTAGTGGCTCATGCCTGTAATCCTAGCTACTTGGGAGACTGATGAGATCAGGAGAATGAAGGGCAAATAGTTCACAAGACCCCATTTCCAAAACAATCAGAGCAAAATGCACTGGAGGCATGGCTCAAGTAGCAGAGCACCTGCTTTGCAAGCACAAAGCCCTGAGTTCAAACCCCAGTCCCGCAGAAAAAATAATAATGTCACTTAGGGAGAGTGGGGAGGGAACAATCTTAAAACCCTGGAAGGGGAGCTTTTGAAAATATTCTTCCTTTGGACTCGCTTCTCAGCCTGCCTGCTATTCCATCTTACTCATTTTACTCTACAGATACTCAGTGGAAGCTTATTGTGTGCCAGGCATTGTGCTTGGTTCTGGGACCCAACAGTGAACAATACAAGATTTTAAAAACCCCTTGTCATGTGAAGCTTACTTTTTAGTGGAGGGAGACAGAATACAAACACAGTAATTAAATAATATATATGGTCTGATGGATAATAATAGGTGCTTTGGAGGAAAATGAAGCAGGGATGGGTGTGCCAGAAGTTGGGGCTTGAGGTACAATGGCCAGGGGAGGCCTTACTGACAAAGTAGCATTTGGGCAGAACATGGAGGTGAGGGCTCCAACACCCCATAGCTCTACCCTCTCATCCCCCACCTCCCACAAGTTCTCTGAGGACTTGTGGACCACCCTGAACCCCAGACTGTTTCTATTTGGGATATGTATATTTGGGTGGGGGAAGGTGACAGCAGTTGCCAAGGTCCCCTTCAATGTTCTGGGTCTTGGGGTGACCCTAACTCAAAGAGATCTTACTGCATTAAATAAGATGCTAGTGCCCTGTGTGAAAGCCCTCAACAGGGTGTCTGATACACAAGCTATCCACAGACAGAAGATAGGAAAGTTCTTATTAAAAAGACAGCCAACAGGACACCAGTGGCTCACACCTTTAATTCTAGTACTTGGAAGGCTGAGATCAGGAAGACTGTAGTTTGAGGCCAGCCTGGGCAAATAGTTCATGAGATCCTCCATCTCCAAAATAACCAGAGCAAAAATGGACTGGAGGTGTGGCTAAAGCAATAGACCTTCTGCTTTTCAATCCTGAAGCCCTGAGTTCAAATTCCAATCCCAGCCAAAAAAAAGAAAGAGAGAGAAAGAGAGAGAGAAGAGAGCACCCCAGTCCTCCAGTTATGTAGATCTAAGTCCAAATCTTAACTCTGTCCACAACCCAGCTCTGGGTCTTCCCATAGCACCTCCAACTTTCAGGGTCTCAGCTTTCTGCTCTGTAAAAATGGGAGCATTAGCCCTCTATAAAGGTGTCTTGTGATAACTAAGCAAAAACATACTTCCAAGCCCTTAGCACATCATAAACCATGGATGTCCATGGACAGCAAAATTAAAAGCATTAAGAAGAAAAAAGAGACTGGGTGAGATGGCTCGTGGCTAAAATACCAGCTACTTATGAGGCAGAGATAGGGAGGATTCAATTTGAGAGCAGCCTGACCAAAAAGTTTTTGAGACACCCCCCACATCTCAACCAATAAAAATTGGGCATGCTGGCACACCTGTTGCCCCAGTTACACAGGAAGCATAAATGGGAGGATGGCTGTCCATGCTGGCCTGAGGGAAAACTCAACATCTTATTTGAAAAAATAACTAAAGGGCCAGGCACTGGTGATTCATGTCTGTAATCCTAACTACTCTAGAGACAGAGACAGAGATCAGGAGGATCTCAGTTTGAAACTGGCCTGGGAAAATAGTTCCTGAGACCCTATCTCAAAAATACCCAACACAAAAAAGCGCTGGTGGAGTGATTCAAGTAGTAAGGAATATCTGCTTAGCAAGCATGAGGCCCTAAGTTCAAAACCCAGTACTGCCAAAAGAGAGAGAGAGAGAAATAACTAAAGCAAAAAAGGGTTGGGATCATGGCTCAAGTGTTAGAATGCCTGCCTAGCAAGCACAAGGCCCTGAGTTCAAATCCCACAACCACCAAAAAAAGAAAAAGAAGGAACAAGAGGTGCAGAGGAAAGAGCTGCTCCTTGCTACTTGCCTGTTTCTTGATTGATAATAATACTTCTAGCCATTATAACAGTAGATATTTTGTTTCTTGCTATGTTTATATACCATTCCAAGTATTTGACTCACTAAAATCTCAAAACAATCCCATAGGTAGGCATGATGATCACACTCCCCCCCACACACACAGTACAGGAACTCAAGAAGAGCAAGAGGTAAATACCTCAGGGAAGGTCACAGGACCAATGAGTCATAGAGCTGGGACTCAGGCCCAGGAGATTCTGCTCAGATGGGGACAGGGAAAATACCTAACCCAACCTTACAGGCTGTGGTGCAGATTCAATCCTACACCTTGTCCATGATGCCAGGAGGAGCAATGAGCTCTTCCTAAATCAGAGCTAGTTTTGGTGGAGGTAGGCAGGTGAGGCAGGAAGACTGTAACAAGGACTGGTAGACAGTGGTACTCAATATATACTCTATGAAGTCACATCCTCTATGTAAATTTCAGTTTTCTTCACTTGATAACCTGGCAGATGTCTCCTGAGCTTCTGTAGGTCTTTCCACATTCCCCCCCCCTTTTTTTTTTTTTCTTTTAAGATACAGTGGTGCTATCATAGCCTTGGCTGGCCTCAAACTCTCCATCCTAGGCCTCACCACTGTCTCCCTGCTCTTTACCTACTAATCATAAAACCGTCTCCCACCTTGTGTCAAATCCTGGGAGAAACTGAACTCACACAAGCCTGGGGATGTCTAGGTTCTGTGCTGGCCCATTTGGTAGCCACTGACCACGTGCAATTGTTTAAATTTAAATTAATTAGAATGAAATGGAATTTAGATTTGTGTTCCTCTATGGAAGTAGCTCTGTTTCTGCTCACCAGCTGCATGTGGCTCTGGTCACTACAGTCAATCCTACTGGCCAGTGCCAAGCTATCAAGCCCCTTGTACAGGGGAAGAAACTGAGGCTGGCTGAGAAAGCAGAGGGAACAAGGATGGGCACCCAGAGTGGACTGCCGTCAACCCCCTGATGTGCAGAGAGATGAGGTGGGGAGGCTATGGATGTGCATGTGTGCCTGACTGCATGGGGGTCGGCACAGGCACACATGTGCATGGTTTCTGCAGGGTCTCTCTGGGTCTCCCTGTCTCAGCATCTCTCCAGCATCCTCCATATCTACCATTTCCTATTTTAGCCTCTCTTGGAATTTCTCTGCCTCCTGTCCATATCAGACCCCCTTTCTTTCCCTCTGTCATTTTCACTGTTCCATTTCTCTCTGCTGCATCAGTCTCTCCCAAGTGTCCTTTACTGCTTCTCTGTCCCTCTTCAAGACTCTCTCTGTGTCTTATCTCAGGATCTTGGTGCCAGCATTGCTATAGCTCTCTCTCTGCCCCTTGGGCCTCAATTTCCTTAAATCTCTTTACCCATAGATAGCAGCCTATCCCCATCCAGGACTGGTCTTTGGTCCCCTCACCCCTTCCTCCTCTCTATCCCCACCTGTGCACCTGGCCTGTCCCAGGCCCCCACACATTCCCCCTTTCCAGGCCAAGGGCAAGGAATCTGGGCCAGACTAGCTCTCCCTATCTCTCCAGCCCCCCCTCCCCTCCCAGCCTTAAAAATAGCAGGAGAAATTGGGACGGACGCCGAGGGGGTGAGGGCGGGGGCGCGGCCTGAGGAGGAAGAACCAGGTGTCCGGGCACTCACGTCCGTCTGGGGGCCCTTCCCAGCGCCTGGACACTCGAAGGTCACAAATTCGTGGCATCGCCGATGAACCACAAAGCTGCAGACTGAAGATCAAAATCATAGAGACACAGAGGTAGGGAGGGACATGGATAAATCCAGAGAGACCCCCAACAGACACAAAATTGGAAAGAGAGCCAGACAGAAAACCAGAAAGAGGGGGATCTCCACATAGAGTCTAACCGAGAAAAAAACAGGAGAGACCTTGACATGGGAGGGGGGCTGAGGGGGAAGGTGGAAGGTGAGAAATACATACATACACACACACACACACACACACACACACACACAGAGAGAGAGAGAAGGTGAGAAAGCTGGATACTGAAACCCAAGAGATGGATTCAAAGATGAAAACAGAGAGAAACACAAAGTGACCCAGAGCACAGAGCCCTCAGTGCACACACACACACAGCCTAAGGGACACAGACAGACAAGGAGAAAAAAATTGTTTCCCAAGGACCAACAGACTCAGACACACAGACAGAAGATAAGAAAGCAAGAAGGAGAGAGACAGGCAGATTTGAAGACCGAAACCACAGAAATATCCTCAGACACAGCAGAGCCCCAACTTGGGCAAAAGTGAGTCTGGGGGCGCTGCTCTGGCCCACCCCCCCCCACCCTGACTCACTCTGTTCTCAGCAGTGGCAGCTGGTGCTTTAGAACTCGCCCCCCTCTCCCGGCCCCCACCCGCCCATCGGGTGACCCCGCCCGGCCTGCCCCTGCCTAGGACTGATGGTGTTGTCATGGCGACGGCAGCCTGGGGGGGGGGCTCTGACTTTGCATCTCCAGCCCCTTCCCCCCCTTCACTCCCCTTTTCCAAATCTCCTTGTTCCCATGGCAACAGATTCTCCAAATATCTGTCCCCACCTGGAGCCGGCCGAGGGAGGGGCCCCCCAACACCACCTCCGCGGTGGCCCTGCCATCAGAGCTCCCTCCCCACCACAGGCTGTGTCTCTGCCACACCCCCCGCCCCGGGCTCCCCCGCGCCTCTCTGGGGACCAGAGAACACGTGTGTCAGCAGTCTCAGCTGTGAGGCCTCAGCCTCCACCCTGGGGGAGTCCCAGGGGTCCAGGACCCAGCTCTTACCTTGACATTGCAGGCCCTGTTTCCCAATACCCCTGGAAGAGTCAAGGATCTGAAGTCAGTGCAGAACGGGCACCTGGACCCTTCCACCTCTGCGAGCCATCAGAGGTCTGTGGCTTCTCATGCTCCTAGGGTCCCACCTGCATTCTGCTTCTAGAACCCAGAAATTCTGTCCCCCCAGCCCCTCCTCTCACAACCAGGAGCCCAGCCCCCAGCCCCTCCTCCCTTAGACCAGGAGTCCAGGCTCCCAGCCCTCCACCATCCTAGAGCCCACGAGTGGGGGCTACAACCCCTCTCTGCTCATCCCTTATGTGACACGAATCTGAGCCCCCAATGTCCTCCCGCAGGACCCCAGCCCTCTTCCCTCACCAGATGAAGTCGGTACAGTGGCTGCAGAAGGTTGGCTGCTTGAAGAAGCGAGCGGTAAACTTGTGGCTCTTGACTTCGTGGACTACCTTCTGCCTTAGAGCCCCCTTTCTGCAAAACAGGGGTCGGGGTCCCCCCTCTGAATCGCCTCCGCCGGGGCCCAGACCCGCCATGGCCCCGAGAACGCAGCAAGGACCAGGATCCTGCCTTTCTGAGGAAACAGGTGGACTGGGGGAGCAGAGTCGGGGACTCGGGAGACTCGGAGGTGGGAAGGAGGAGAGAGGAGAGGCACCTCCAGGTGCGCAGCGCGCGGCAGGGAGCGGCACCCCGGCCGGATGGGGGCGCAGAGCCAAGGCAGGGGCGCCGAGGAGCCGGAGGCACGGGCGGCGGCGGGAGCTCCGGCTCCAGCACCTGCTGAAATGTGGGAGCCCCGGGTGGGGGGAGGCGTTGCCAAGACGACAGAGGGGCGGGGTTTCTGCTTAAAGGCGCCCCCCTCCCTGAGACACGGGATAAATGCCCCCCCCACACACACACGTGCACACACCCACTCCCGGGGTTGGCTGCAGGGAGGGAGCATCCGCTGAGTCTCCAATCTGTCATGCAACATCCCCCCCACCACGTCTTCCTTCAGTAAGTTGCTTCAGTGGGTCCTGTTAGGCCCCTGGGTCTCCACCATGTCACCATGTCACTCTGTCTTCAATTAGCAAAGTTTCTGCTCAAGGTTGAGACTCCACTGGTGAACAACTAGGCTTGGAGTCTCACTTTCCCTGATGCTACCGGTCTTTATTTTTCTCTAGACCTCTGAATTTTTATTATTATGTGTCTCTCTGGGGGTGTCTTCTCTTGGCCCCCGTTTCTCTCCCTCTTTTCCTGAAGAACTCTGGAATTTGTTTCCTTTGCTGTGTGTCTCTATCTGTGTCTGTCACCCTCTGTTGGTCACCCATCTTGGGTCTTGTATCTCACTAGCGGTCTCACTGTGAACCAGTCTCCCTCTCCCTCTCTCTCTCTCTGTCTCAGAAATCTCTCCCCCTGTCTCCCTGAGTCCTTCTTTCCACTCTCCTTCACCTTCCTATCTTTGTAAATGCTATTGTCTCTCTCTGTTTCTCTTTCTAGGCTAATCTCTTTCTGGTTTTGCTTGACTCCTTCGACTGTATCTCCCTGGTTCAGTTTCTTAGTGCCTGTCCCCCTCTGTCATTTTCACTTTCTGTCACTAGGGGGTGTCTCTGAATATGTGCATCTCTCTCTTCCTCCCTGTGTCTCTTTGTGATCCACTCTCTACTTGTCCCTCTGGCCCTGTGACTCTGACTCTGACCCGGGGGTCTCGCACTTAGGGAGGTCACTTCCCACCTCAGGAATCTGGAGATCTCTCCCTCCGTGTCTCCTTGTGACTCTTTATCTGGGGCGGAGGGGAGGGGTCTCTCCCTCCCTCCATGCCTCCCTGACACTCTGTCTCTGGAGGTAGTTTCCCTTCCATATCTCCCTAGGAATTTCTGTGCTCTCCTCGTCGCAGCGAGGCGGCCCTCCACCTCCTTCCGCAGCCGCGCGCTGCAAAATCCCGGCTGGGAAGAGGCCACTCGGTTGCCAGAGGCAATCACAGCCCGTAGGGGTGCGGGATGCAGTGTATTCTGGGAATCGTAGTCCAGCCCCACCTGCCGGCTGCGCTCAGGATGAGACCGAGAACTTCCCTTCCCGGCATGCCCCGCGCAACGGGCGGGGCGCAGGGGCGGCACGCGACTGGAGGCCCACCACACCTTCTGTGGGGCTTGTAGCTGGTTGGGGTCGGGATTTCGGAAACACGGAAAGGGAGGTAGGGGAATCCGAGTCCTTTCTTAAGCCCCTCTCCCTTAAGTGTAGGGTCAATCTATTGGCCTTCCATCCACCTCCGGGTGTCCGTCGTGCCCCCAAGTGGAGGACAGGGAGTAGGGGTGGCCCTGAAAACTGACCTGTTCTAGTCCCCCTTCTCCTCGGGGTCTTTCCTGAGTTGCCATAGCATCACACCCGGGTGCTACATCTGTTCTTTCTGGTGCTTTCCAGAGGACGGTCCTGCACGGTGTGGGGGAGGGGGGTGGCACTGCAAGGATGAGAAGGCATAAGGACTGTGCCTTGCCGTAGTTGGTCCTTCCCCTCGCCTTCCAAACTTTCTTTGTGCCCAGCGCCTGTAATACTAGCTACTTGCGTGACTGAAATTAGGATCTTGGTTCAAGGCCAGCCAGGGCAAATAGTTCATGAGACCCACCCCCATCTCCAAAATAACCAACGCAAAACGGACTGAGTGTGGCTCAAGTGGTAGAGCACCTGTTTTGCAAATGCGAAGCCCTGATTCCAGACCTCATCTCACCAAAAAAAAAAAAAAAATTTTCTTTGCAACATGACTTCTCCATTGTTTTTGTGGGTGTATATGCAGAAAGGGGGTTTTGAGATCCTGAATATACCACATAAGGAACTGTTTGAGAAAACAGGCAAGAAGACTTTCTCAATGAAAGAAATTCACTGCAGGCAAGTAACTCGATCTTTATCAAGGTGACCTACTGACCAGGTGTAGTCAGCCAGCACACTGCTGGCAGTTTACTAACTAACAGCTGGAATTAGGCAGGCTCAGATCTGGAAGACTTTAAATGCTGGACTGAGGTGAAACAAAATAGAATTCGAGCTGGGCCAGAAGGCTGGGAAAGGGGTAGATGGAAATGATATCTAGAGAAAGAAGAATGATGAGTGACCAAGGAGAGAGGAGAAACTTAGCACAAGTGCTTGGCTTTGCAGCCCTGGGAAACCAGGAAAGAGTTGATTTTGACACACCTCCTTTCTGAGGTGCTTGTAAGACTCCCACCAGGCAAAAATTCATTTCTGTCCCACTCAGCCCTCTTGGCTTGAGAGAATAGTTTAGAACAGAATCAACTAGTATTTTCTTTGTTTTTGCAGTAATGGAATTTGAACTCAGAGCCTACACCTTGAGCCACTCCACCAGCCCTTTTTTTGAGATAGGATCTTAAGAACTATTTGCCTGGGCTGGCTTCGAACCGTGATCCTCCTGATCTGCCTCCTGAGTAGCCACGATTACAGGTGTGAGCCACTGGCACCCAGCTCAACAAGTGTTTTTTGAGACCAAGGTTGCCTTGACCCCAACCCTCTCTCTTCTCATTAGACTGAGGAATCTGTCTGAGGAACCCCTCTCTGGAGTCCTCCCCATAATAAGGAAAGCACAAGTTCTTGTTTTATCTTTATATTGAGGTTTAAAAAAAAAAAACACATTATGGATGTGGGAGTGGGGGGAGGGACAAGGCTGCTATGACAGCAGGAGCTATCAGAATCAAAAGCTCCAGGGAGTTAAAAAAAAATAAAATATATATTTATATATTTATATATATCATGTTATGCATGTGAGTCCCAGAGAAGCAGGAAGCAGCAGCAAAGAGCAACTAGCACAGAGACACACATGCAGTGCAGCACACACTCAAGCATTGCTATTCCTCTGGCTATGGCAACAGTAATCTCTATCTCCCCCTCCTCCCAGCCCAAAAACAAAAAAAATTCTTCCTTGAAAAACAGGGCTATTTAGTAATCTTCACCCTCATGACCAGGAAAAAGAAAAAAGAGAGAGGGGGAAAAAAAAAAAAACAGCCTAATTTTGCCTTTAAGGCCGGCAGAGGCCATTTTCTTTTCATCCTTGCCAAAGCAGGCTATGTTATTTTTAACACTGAGGCTGGAGGGCCACATAACTGACCCTCACAAATACTTCACAGAGTTGTCTTCAAGACCATATGGTTCTTTGACTGGCTCTTTTTTTTTTTGGTTTTTTTTGATAGAAGAGATAAGAGTTGGGATGAAAGGATCCACCCCTTGCTTCATTTAGGGTGGCCTCTAGGCAGTGGGTTTTTTGGTAAGCCTGACAAAAATTCTAGAGTCAAGTTCAGGCAAGGCTAAGTGCCAGGCTGGGGTCTAGGGACCCATGGTCTGTGCTTAAAGCCTCCCACCCACTGGGAATTATTGACCTCCAGAGATTTTTTTTTTTTAAACTTAAAGGGGAGGTGCGCCATATACCCTCCTCTACTGAGAGAAAGGGCACCAACCCCTAGCTGCCCACCCCCTTACCCCAATACACACACACACACACACACATACACACACACACAAAACTAAGGCACAGCTAGGGCAGGCAGGCATGCTTTGGCAACAAGGCTCCTAGACAGGGAGAACCATGGCATGAAAAGTTGCAAAGGGGCGTGGATGTGTGGAGCCAGCACCTTTGGAGGTGGGGTGGGGGAAGACGCAACAAGACATTTCAGGGCTCCCGAGGAAATAGGAAGATGTGGTCAGGAAACAGGCAGATGAGAAAACCAGATCAGAGATTTTGGGAAGAAAAGATAAGAGGCCAGGTGTGGAGATACAGCTCAGAGGCAAAACAGGATGTGAGCAACCAAACAGGAAGGGAAGGACATAACAAGAGAAAAAGAAATCAGAAAAACAGCACAATGAATCAGGTGGAAAATACAAAGAAGAGTGAATTCAAGTAAGAAAAGGGAGAGAAGGACTCAGTACTGAAAACTGAGGTGAGAAGAATGAAGTGGTTGGGAAGAAGGACACGGGAGCCCCTGTGAGTCTTAGACCTTGACAAATACCAGGCGGGCAGAGTATACCAGGTCAGCCAAGTACGCCAGCAAGTTGACAGCCGTCAAGATGGCCACAGCCAGTCGGCGGTCCCAGGGACACACAGAGTGAGGGTGTCTGTAAGCACAGCTCACATCCCTCGATCGTCGGGGCTGACCACCATATCTCTCATTGAATTGGTAGAGAGGCCAGAGGACAAGGGCAGTGGCATACATAAGGACAGACAGCAAGGCCAGGCCTGACAGGAAACTGGGGAAGGGGATGGGCAGCATGTTGGTGCAGTCCCCCAGGTTCAGTAAGATGGCCACAGCCGCCAGGATGAAGCAGATGGCATACACTGCCACACACCACTCCAGGGCCGACTCACGCTGGTACAGATTGGGGTCGCTGATGAAGGCAAAGATGACACAGGCAACGAAGGTTTCCAGCACCTTGAGCAGCCCCGGCACAGTGGCCATGTAGCCAGTGATCTCGCCGGGCCTTGCCCGAGTCCAGGCCACTTCGGTGGCATAAGCCACACACGCAATGCAGGAGAAGGTGGTGGCAGCAATGGCGTGGTCCCGGGAACGGCCGTGAGACATAAACTGCACATAGGTGGTGGGGTAGATGATGGAGGCCGAGAGGCAGAAGAGGGCAGCATAACAGGCATAGGTGATGGGGAAGTTGCGCCAGGACAGGGGGAAGCGGGCCTGAAGCCCACCTAACTCCACGATGAGGATGATGAGGGTCACGGCGAAGCAGAAGCACCAGGTGAACATGGACCAGTTACCCATGGGCCCCGTCCAGGCGCCCACACTGGCCACCAGGGAGAAAGCCACACAAGTGGACAGCAGCTGCAGCAGGCGGAGGAGGCCCAGAGGCTGGTCAGTGCCCGAGGGGATCCCACGATGGTAGAGGATCCCAGGCTTGAGGATGTTGTAGTCGTGATGGTTGTGCGTGTTACTGTCACAGGCATGGCTGGGAAAAGGCAAAAGACAGTGTCTCAATAAGGTCCTGGACATGGGAATTCAGGTGCCTACTCTTTGCCTCTCCAGGGACAAATTACTTTGTGCTCTGGAGAGGGGGTCCTCAGAATGTGGACTTTCTAGTTTGTAATTCAGGATACTTCAGCACATACAGGGATGAGTGTATCAATCCAGGTTCTAGGCTTATCCAATACCTGTCCACACAGAACCCAGGATTCTAGAGCTCTCTTTCTCCTTCCTATTCCAGAAATCCAAAGCTGACCTCCCTGCCCTCCTTCTCTCCAGCAACCCACCCACTTAACACTGTGGTCAATGAATCCTGCCTCCTTCCTCCCTGCCCCACCACCACCACCACACACATCAGGACCAGAGGCCTGTCTTCTGCAGACTCTAAAACCCTGCTCCCCTTGCTCCACTTCCTCTCTTCAGTGACATAGGACTCTGTACTCCAGGCCCTGTAAGCAAACTTCCTTCTTTCACCTAACAGTGACCTAGCCATTTTCAGCCTCCACACACCCAAGAGTCAACTTCCACGTGCTTACATTGTTATATCTGAACAGAGCTTCTGACTTCCCATCTCCCTCCTCTCTCTCTTACAGAATTCTTAGTTCCTAGAAAACCAAGTGTTCTTTCTTCCCTATCTTCTGTTTTTGTTTTGTTTTGTTCTGTTTGGGTGGGATTGAGGTTTGAACTAGGACTTTGCAAAGCAGCAGCTATACCACTCATTTTGCTCTGGTTATTTTGGAAATGGGGTTTTGTGAACTATTTACCCAGGCTGGCCTTGAACTGTATCCTCCTGATCTCAGTCTCCCAAGTAGCTAGGATTACAGGTGTGAGCCACCATAGCCTGGCCTCCTCTACCTTCTGAAATGTGTTCTGAACTCTCCACTGCTCTGTTCTCTCCCATACCTTCCTCAAGGTAAGGAATTTGTGCCCTAGGCAAGATTTAGGTCTAGAGTACTGAAAATCAGCCAGGACAGTTTGCTCCTCTTGTCCCCTGCCCCAATAATGAGGCATCCCGCCACTCCACTGCCCCCACCCCCCCCACACAGAAACCCAGCCAGCTTGCTCCTCCAAGTCTGAGAAACTCAGCTCTCCAAACCCCTACTGTTCGAGGCTCCAATCCCTTCCACTGATATCTCTAGGCCTCAAAGTCAGCCACACAGGGTTTTGGGGGGAGGCAGCTAGGAATTAAGAGTCCTCTAGGAAAATTCATGCTGGAAGTGAGGATGTGTCACCCACAGGAGCCCTGCAGATGAGAGAAAGACTATCTACATAAGCATATTTCCTGTCTTTGTGTCATCTTTTATATAAATTGTGTCACTACTATGAACAAGGCATATGCAGACTGAGAATCTTTCCTCAGCTTTGGCCAAAACTCTAAGTAAATTCATTATTCCATTTCTTTATATATTATATCATTGTCACATAATGGCCCAGGGCTCTGGTAACAGTCAGACCTCGGGAGGGGCCCTCAGCCTCCAGTGTAAATCAGGCCCCAGACTCATGAAAAACTAACTTCTTTCTTTCCACTTCCAAATCCTACAGCTTTTGCCTCTTTGTACTACAAAGCCTCAGAGAAAGGACCAGATGTTACGTCCATCCTCAAGCTGCAAAATGTCTAATCTCTCAGATGACCCCACTAAAAATACCAGGAGGTAGTTCTCAGCCATAAGGAAATAAAACTTCCTCCTTCCAGTGTCAGGCACATAGCAAGGCAAAAACCCAAGCTTTAACCTCTGGCAGCACACTACCCCATAACAGCTTCCAGACCACACAAGAGCCAGCTCCCCAAAACTACTTCCTCAGACACACGAATATCTGGGACTCTAGCCCTTGGAAACCGAGCTCCAGGTCCCTCCACTCCCACTCTCGGGATCTAGGAGTCCAGGCCCCAGCCCCCAACCCTCCTCCCTCAGTCCCAGGGGTTCAGACTCCAACCCCCACTCTTTCAGTCCCAGGAGTCTGAGCGCCCACCGCACTCACCAGCGGTCTTAGCTGAGGACCGGAAGGAGAAAGCTCGGGCTACGCAGACCAATTAAGTCGCACACCTGGAAAAGTGTGGTCAGAGCACCTGAGAGGGAGAAAGGCAGTCAGCGTCCAGCTTCAACTTTGTACTCTCCCGGAACCCTGGAGGCCACAGCCTCGGCGCGCCTTCCTTCTGGGACCCTGACTTGGCACGGAGCCCCCAAGGGAATCGGACGGTGACCCCAAGTAAGCACCGCCCCACTCCTTCTTAAACACTGCTTGGGCTGAACCCGAAGCAAAGAGGCCCAAGATCACGCCCCGCCCATCTGCAAGGGGCGTGTGTGACAGAACCCTGCTGTGACAAGCGGAGCCGCGGGGACTGGACGGCGGCGGGAGGGCCCTAGGCGGTGGCGGGCGGCCCAGCCTGGCCCGGCAGCTCCGCGCCTTATAAGGGCTTTAAGTCGGCCCAACCTTCTGGAATGTAGCAGGGCCAGGGAGGCGGTACGGGGGACCCCCCCCCATCCCGCCCCGCTCTCGCGTAGAAGATGGCCCGCCCCTCTCCTGGGGACCCGGAGAGGGCGGTCTCCCAGGTCCTAGGAGGGGGCGGGAAGCTCGAATTTGAGTCTTGAAAAGTGTGAGTTCTGGCAGGCGCCGGTGACTCAACGCTTGTAATCCTAGCTTCTTGGGAGGCTGAGATCCAGAGGAATGTGGTTTGAGCCCTGCCAGGTCAAATAATTCATGAGACCCCATCTCCAAAATAACCAGAGCAAATTGGACTGGGGGTGTGGCTCTAGCGGTAGAGTGCCTGCTTTGCAAGCGAAGTGCTGAGTTCAAACGCTGGACACACACACACACACACACACACACACTGCATCCTGGTCTCTAGAAAAATGGACAGAGCTGGGGGGCGTGGCCCAAGTGGTACAACGTTAGCCTAGCACGTGCAAGGTCCTGGGTTCAAACCCCATCAAAGGGACTGAGAGAAAGTGTGTGGCTCGAGTTGTAAAGCGCCAGCCTAGAAAGCAAGGATCTGAGTTCAAACCCAGTACCTTCAAAATAAAAACCAATCGCACTCGGAAGGCCTTGGGTTCGACCTCTAGCATCACATTAATTTAAAAATAAGTTCAGCAGGGCGCCCTTGAATCACATCTGAATCTTAGCTACTCAGGAGGCAGAGATCAAGAGGATTGCGATTCAAAGCCAGCCTGCGCAAATAGTTCTTGAGACCCTATCTCTTAAATAACCAACACAAAAGGGCTGGCGGAGTGGCTTAAGTGGTAGAGGCATCTGCCTAGCAAGCGTGAGGCCCTGAGTTCAGACCCCAGTACCAACAACAAAGTTTAAATTTTAAAAAAGAATAGGCTGTGATCCCGGGGTTCCTCTTGCGGAAACTACCCCCTCCCGCCGGCGTCCCCACTCCTCTACCCGACCCCGCTCCAGGCAAGACACAGGTCTGGAATCCAGCCCGGTGATCAAAAGCCACACCTTCGTAAAACGCAGGCCCTTAGAAGGGTTTTGGTGCCTCGGAATACCTGGAAGGTGCCACACGTTAGCAGACACCTCTAGCTACCGTGCCCCGTTCAAGACCCGTTATGAGGAAACTGGGACTAGGCGCACTCTTGAGTTCTAGAAAGCGGACTACTATCCCCGCCAGCAGGGAGGAGGAGCAGGGAAGGGCGTAGCTCCTTCAGTCCAGCCGGGAGAAAAGTGGGTTAACAAAGGAAGGAGAATAAAAGGAGGAAAAGGGGACCCCCTCGGAAGTGAGAAGCCCACCCCGCACGGAGGGCCTAGTGCCGCCGCCTGAGGTCAGAACTAAGGAATGCATAGCCGCAGACCGAAGCTGGGAGAGGAAACGCCCCTAGCGCCTTCTCAAAGCGCACCATGCTCCCGGCCACACCCAGCACTTCATCCATCACTCCAGACTCAGGGGCGGCCCCTATAGCGCGAGCCCCAGCCTCTCCACACCAGAAATCTTGCAGCCTCTTAGCTTCCCAGATTCCACCACACTTCAGGAGTCCGGTGCGGGATCTCAGCTCCCACCTTGCAAGGAACCCAAAGTTCCGACTCTGTCCGCCCCCAGGATGGGGAAAGCTGTCAGAAATTCCGAACTCCAGCCACTTTCCTAAACCTAAGACTCCTAGTACCACGCCCCTCCCTCCTAAGCACCTCTGGACACCTGATTCCAGCCCCCCAAACCATGCCCAAGGAGTGCCCCATTTCTCCACTAGCCCAGATCCAGGGATCCAGGCCCCAGCCCTCCTCCCTCAGACCCAGAGGTCCAGACCCCAGACCCCCCTTTCTCAGACCCAGGAGTCCAGGCCGCAGCCCTACTCCATCACTCTGGGGATCCAGCGCCAGCCCTCCTCCCTCAGACCCAGGAATCCAGACCTCAACCCTCCTCCCTTAGACCAGACCCCGGCCCTCCTGTCTCAGACCCAGGGGTCCAGGCCTCAGCCGTCCTCCCACAGGCCCAGGAGTCCAGACCCCAACCCTCCTTCCTTAGACCCAGAGATTCAGACACCAGCCCTCCTCCCTGAGACCCAGGGGTCCAGGCCTCACCCCCTCCTCCCTCAGACCCTGAGTTCCAGGCCTCAGACCCAGGAGTTCATACTCCATCCCTTCTCTTCAGGTGTATGACCTGTATGAGTTTAGGTTCTCAGTCCTCTCCTCTCTGGAACCCAGGAATCCTGGCCCAATCCCAGTATTTCGAGGGACCAAGACATTGTGAATCCCAGCTTCCTTCCTCCCCTTCTAGACCCAAGAATCCTGGACCGCTTCTCCCCCTCCCTGGGGTCCCCGCAGCCTCACCTCTCCAGCCAGTGGTGGCTGCGGCTGAGGCTAGGGCGACAGCTGCAGACCAAAGGGTCTGCAGGCTGGGTGGGGTTGGCTGGCTGCAGAGCGCGCGCGGGCGGGGCCGAGGGCGGGCCAGGGGCCAGGGCTGAGGCCATGTTCCGGGAGGAGGCGGTTGAAAGGGACATCCCCCCAGTCTGGGCTATCCCCAGCCCGCCCCGAGGGCGGGGCCCAGGTCAGACCACGCCCCTGCCGAGGATCAGTGTGCCACGGATCTCCAGCCCTACCAGTGAGGGGGTGGAAGACTGAGGTCACCGTTGCCGTGGTGACAAAACAGGAAGACACAACAGCTGGCGAAGAGGGGGGGTTCCTGGGGGCTGCCCTCCCCGACACTGCTCGAGGGCAGTCTCCAGGGTAGGCCGCGGAAGGCCGTTGCCATAGAAACCTCCTGTTTACGGTTTGTTTAAGACAGAGACCCCCCAGCTCCGGTTCTCCACATCCTGTCTCAGGTCACTCAGTTCTCCTCACTCCCTGCTGCAGCCCTCCACGTCTGCTCCGGTTCCCCACTTTGCTAAAATAGACAGATACGTTAGAAACCTGGAGTCGGGCACTGACGGCTAACGCCTGTAATCGTAGCTACTCAGGAGGCAGAGATAATGAGGATCGCGGTTCGAAGCCGGCCGGGGAAATAGTGCCAGAGACCCTATCTCGAAAAATCCAGCACACACACACACACAAAAAGGCTGGCGGACTGGCTCACGGTGTAGGTCCTGAGTTCAAACCTCGGTACCGCAAAAAAAAAAAATAAATAAATAACAAAACCTTAGACACCTGGATCACAGCGTACTGGGGAACCAGACCCTCAGTTTAATAGGGTCTGTGGGCTAGGGGCCATGTCTTCCTCAAAGAGGACGGAGTTGGGGGTGCTTTACTTTACAGGTGCTGAGCTAACATCCCTGACTCCTGGGTTCCCACCCCCCCCAAAATAAAAACCGGCCAGATTCCTGCATTTAAGGATATTTGTGGAGGAGAATGAGCCTCATTTACCTTACAATCTTTGGTGTAAGGACTGACTGGGTCAGACTCCCAGGTCTCATATATTAGTCAATAAGGGTAAAGGGGGTGTTGGTAGCAAAATTCCAGGGAATTTAGGGGCCTAGATTCCTGGCTCGAAAGAACAATCCGAGCTCAGACGCCTGAATTTTCAGAACAGATGTGGTTGCAAGTCGAGCCTCCTGGGTCTGAAAGGGAGATATTTTTGGCCTGCATTCCTGGCTCCTATACAGAGGGAGGGACTCCGAATCTTAATGAGGACGGGGCTGGGGGCTCCAGATTCTCAATTCTGGAAGCGGGGACTGGGGGAATTCAATTGGCTGGTGAGGGCCCAGAACAGGATAGGGAAGAGATGCAGGGTTCGTTTTCTAGGGTGACTTGGCGGCCCTGAAACGGCCTGAGCAGAGCCCAAAAGAAAAAGGGAGCTGAAGGTCGGGATGCCGGGCCACCGGGGAGGGGCAGGGCAGGACCTAGGACGCCTGGCTTCCTCCCTCCTGGCCGCGCTCACTCACCGCGCTCTGCAGCCGTCCCGGGCGCGGCCCAGCCCGGCAGCCGCTGGGCGGGGCCTGGTGGCGGCTGCGGATGCTCCGCGACGCTGAGCTAACGGGAGCTTCCCGGCTGCTGCCTCTGGGCACCTTCCCGGAGGACGACTGACGAGGCTTGGAGGCCAAGCCTTAGTGTGGAAGCTGCGCGCGTGGCGAAGGGAGGGGTCCGAAGGGGTCCGGGAGCTCAGTACAGCAGGCTGCGTGCCCTACGGAGGAGGGAGGAGCAGGAGGGGGGACCCGGGCGCTCCCAGCTCTGCAGAAGTGGGGGTGGGAACCGAGGTGGGGGGTGGGTGCTCTAGAACTGTAGGCTCACTTTTGCGCCTCTGCAAAGAGAGAAGGGGTCAAACCCTCTTTGTTATTCTGTGCCCTTCAGGAGAGAGGACCCAAATCTGGCTTTTCCTAAAAGGGCAGGCCTATCACCTAAGGATAGGGAGTCAGGATGTCCCTAGGTTCTATTCACATGCCTTCTTGGCCGGCCCCAAGTATAGCAGCAGCTCTCTCCCTCTTGCTTAAGTCAGTCACTTTTTTTGCCTGATCACATAGTGACATGCTTGGGGTACCCCAAATGAACCAGAAGGACCCTCCACCCCCTACACAACTGTGTTGTGTCCTGTGTTGGAAGTACTCCCCCTTTAGGCCCTAAAACCCTTCAGTAGCAGAATTGAGGGACAAGTACAAACATTTGGCTAATTTTTTTTTTAAGTGCTGGGGGTGGAACCTAGGGCCTAGCACAGCTAGGCAAGTGCTTTACCACTGAGCTACTTGCCCTGCCCAAGACGCAAATGTTTGAACAGTGAGTCACTGGGTGTGATCTTGAAAAGTGACACCCTTGGGTTCCCAGTCCTGTTGTGATCTGGCCCCACATATGTGCTGCTGGTTCAGTGTTTACCTGAACCTATTTACTTTATCCTGACCAGCAGCAACCCAGACCCAAAGATGTCCCCAACCTGGCACTATCACCCAGTTTCAAACAGACCATGGCTGTGTTCTAGGAGGCTAGTTGCTTTGGGGTGGTGGGGTACATGGATACCCCCACACACAAACACACATTGACTTCCTAATAAATTGAGTTCCTTAATCAGAAGCAATATTATGCGGTTTAACACGATGGTGAATAGGGCCATTCATCGCACACACAGAGACTGCTTTGGGAAGAAGTGCAAAGGGCAAAGAAAGCAAATAACAAGCCCAGAGTTATTTATTCCAGGGAAGAAAAAGTCATTGCCCAATCCATGGTGGAAGGGGCCAATGTAATCCTTAGCTGACCAGGTATTTGGCTGGTCTTCCTACAACACTATGCTTTGTTGGGGGCTCACTAATTTTTGCTTGGTTATCTAAGCCATATCCATGGCAGTTCTCCATGCCCCTGTTGCCCATTGAGGGGAGGGGAGGGAAAGGCTGGCCAAGACCCCCAGAGCTGCCCTGTGCTCTACCATGTGACATAGTAACATTCTCTGTAATAGAGTTGATTAGGGGAGCGTTCACTGGGGTACAAACACTAAGCTGTTTTTCACTTCCTGTACTTTTAACACCAAATATATAGGTTTTATTTTTTCATATCAACAGCAAGTCTAGCTTTCCAGATACTAACAGGGCATCCAATGATACAACTGAGTTCTCACACTACCCAGAGTTAGTGGCAGACCTTATAGGTTAAGGGCTCCGGCCCACCAGACTGCCCCCACTTCAGATGCATTAAATCCTGAGACTCCCAACCAGGGATGAGTTGCTCACACCTGTAATCCTAGCTGCTCAGGAGGCAGAGATCAGGAGGATCGTGGTTGGAAACAAGCCATCCTGGGCAAATAGTTCATGAGAGTCTATCTCAAAAAAACCCAGTACCACAAAACAAACAAACAAAAGTACTGCCAAAAAATAAAATAAAGAAATAAATAAAAAATACTGACTCCTTACTTTGGGTCTGCAAATGTCCAAAAGGTAACAAAAAGCAGGATAAAGGCTTGGCATCCCTGCCTCCATTTTGCTTCTGTGTCCCTTACTGTGAGTCTCTGTCCTGCAGTCACATTGGGTTCCAGAAAGGACTCAACAGATTGACAACAACTTTATGACAAGGGACTAAAACTATCCCAAGGAAAGGAACAGCAGAGCTTCACAGTACAGACCACCCCCAAAAGAGGACAATTACCTATAATGATGAGGCTGCATCATGGAACAGGAGCAATCATCTCATGGGAACCAGATTGCGCCCCTCAAGTGATGACAGCGATAACATCTTCTCCAGAACTTCTCAAAAAACCAGGACTGAGATAATGTTTGACCAAGCCACACTTTACCTGGGATTATTTAATTTTGCAGCCTCCCTCCCAACCCCCATGCCCTAGTCTTCCTTTATTTAAATCTGAAGTTCATGTCTATACCCCGAGATGGGCTGAAGTGCTTACTCTGTCTTTCCTGTGGTATACCCATACAACAGAATAAATCTTTCTCTGCCCTTCACCCCTACTCTCTTTATTTGATGTATTGGGGTGAGCAGCCAGATCTGACACATTGGATTACCTGGAGTTATACCACAATGTGAAAGTGCTTGAGAGCCACTGACTTGGATGGCCTGCAACACTGATGTTTCCCTCCCTACATGTTAGGTATCCATTCACTCAGTTATCCACAGCCCTCCTCCACTGACCACTTCTTCTGTCTTGTTTTCTCAGAACTTCCACCAGGATCTTTTCTTCACCTAAGAGGGAAGCCCCCAGTTCATCAACCTTCTCCTTTCTTCATTTTCCTCCTTATTTAGATGTGACTCCACAGTCCATAATTCCAGTAACAAATTTGCTAGGTCAGGGTGCCTGTTGGAAATGTGGGCCCCAAAAGTGACCACGTGGAGAGGAGTGATCTGGCCAAGAGTTTCTTTATTGCCGAGTGGCAGAGGGAGAGAGCCAAGAGAGAGGGGGTGGGGGGCAGGGGCTTAAATACCCACTCAGTGAGACTTGGCATGATCTTATTGGCTAGGATCTTATGGTTCATGCTGATTGGAGGTTGGGGCAGAAGGAGAATTCAAGCTAAACTTGAGGCAGGACCATGACCCTGGAAAACAGAAGCTTAAGGGTACAGTAAGAACCGAAACCTATTGATGCCATTATTGCCAACAGTGCCCAATACCCCTTGTCTTCTGTACTAGGGATTGAACTCAGGACCTCATGCTTGCTAGGCAGGCACTCTACCACTGAGGCCATGCCCCCAGCCCTGCTTCTGTCTCTGTCTTGTCCTGGTCTTGGAGAAGAAAAAGCCCATCTATCAGTTTCCTGCTGTGTTGCCTGTCAGTAATTCAGCACTCCTGGAAAATTCCCATGACTGAGTCCAGTGATTCTGCCATAAGTACATGATGACCAAACTCAGTGTGCCCTCAACCCTGTCATGAACCCACTGCAGTGCTCTGATCAATTCCTTCCCCCTTCCATTATTATCCACATTTTGGAACCTTGATCCCAAAATCCCAAAACCTGAAATGCTTCAAAATATAAAACTTCTGAGCAC